CGGACTAATAAAAAAATAAAAAAATTAAAAGCGAGGCGTTGGCGCGCCGAGGTCCACCCACGCGATGGGGCAGCTCGGCGCTCCCAGCGCTCGGCGCATGGGGCACCTCAGAGGAAGCTGTCAGCGCGGATTATGGTCGCCTCGACACGGCGACCAAGGGGCACCCATCAGTGCACGCCGCCGACGCCGCGTTCGCTTAGCTCCACCCCTCGCCACGAAGTGGTCCATTCTCCACCCCGGAGAACCAGCGTCAAGGGGTGGAGGCAACGTTTTTCGTTGAATTGGCCTCGGATACCTCGCTGCGGCTCGCCTTAATTGAAAGATTCTATTGATGAAGCTTCTATTGATGAAGTAAGGGATGTGCGAGGAGGGCTGGACGTATGTGGGTTCGCTGGTGTCCTGGTCGCATCGTCTTGTACGACAATACGGCCCGGGTGTGCCTCCCCTGCGCACCGGCACCGACTGCAGAGTCCAACTCTCGGCTGTCCGACGCCTGACTCCGCCCTAGCTAGTGCCATGCCCCAGCTCCTAGATGACGAGAATCGAACGGTCGGCTGGTATCGCACACATCGTCGCGGTGCAATAAGTCGGCTGGGTGCGGATCTGGGTAGCGAGCAGCTAGAGCTCCTCCAGGGCAACCTCGAAGTGCTGGTAGTTAAGGTGGTGGACACGCCAAAGGGGCGCCGGGCGATGCTCGCCAACGGCGGGTGGGTCACGTTGAAGGCATCGGGGCCGGCGTGAAAAGAGTCGGTTACAACTCACAGAAACACGTAGGTGCTGGAACCATTGCCAACACGATTGAATGGCGTGGGCATGCGGCGTGAGTCGGGGAGCTGGGCTGAGTGGTTGGATGCGCTGGCTCGGACCATGAGCGGACGGCTGCGCGAGCCCTCAGATGGTGAAAAAATGCTCGCACGACTCGCGCGTGATAGGATTGGTAGGCTCATTGCGTCCATTTCTACTGCAGCTGAAATCTTGATTGCCCCCGTATAGAGCCCACCCACAGGCGAGCTCGGCGTTGTGAGACGGCGAGATGGCCTGTGTTGCGAGGGCACAGTTGCAGATCTGCAAGCGGCGCTAAGGTACTTCGAATATCTTGATGATGGTGAGCGAGAGCGTATTTCCGACCTAGCGGACGCAATTTGGAAGTCCGAGCTGGAGGTGGACCCCGTGCCGCTGGTCTCAACATGTCCGTCTGAACTTCAAGACAATCGAAGCCAAAAGCCTCTAGCACCAGCTGACTCCTTGGCGGCCGCTCTGCAATCGCTCGCCAGTTATCTGAGTGTTAGTTTCGGCACTCTCACACCCTCATCCTTCGTGTCCCGTCAGAGCTCCAGCGATGCTACTTCGCAGCTTGATGCTCGACGCAAGGCAGCGCGCGTCGCGCTCAGTGGAGTTGACAACCTGGCCTGGCGCAAGTCCCAAGACAGGCGCAAACCCAGCATCCTACCAAGGCCAACTTAAGGGAAAGAAACGAGCTTATCGCCCCGTAGGCACGTTGTCGAATACTTGCTCCGATGTATCCGGACGGTCATGGTGAGAAATTGTGAGAACGTTGACGGGCTTGCGCTTGCCGCAGTGCTCCGGCGATGTGGCGTGCTCCACAATGGCGAACCCATCTCAATGTTAGTTGCCTCCGAATCCTTGCTGTCTCGCGTGAGCAAACTCAGAACGCGTGGCCGGCTCATGCTGCGACGATGGGTCCATGCTGATGTTTCACATCGCACCTCACGAACGCGAGATCCGCTCCAAATCTCACGCCGCTACTGGCGGTGCGCACGACTTGGCGCCAATGCCCCCATCTATTCAAATGACGCAAACGATTCGGAATATGACTCGGAAAATAATGACGGCAACGAGAAGCTTGACGGCCTGCTACCTGGCTGTTATTCGGTACCGAGGCCCAATTGGCCTGAGAGACTCTGCGTCCATGATCAACTGGCGAAACCCAATCAGCGATCTAGCTAAAGCGTTTATCCTCCGATAGGCTCGCAAAGAAATCCGGACTGTCGATGAAATTGTTTCGCATTACAACAGCACCAGTCGCCGGCGACTCACGCCCGAGAACTGCTATAGAAGTAGTGCACGCAAGCTTTGGTGTATCTCGGACCTCCACGTGGATATCGGAGCTAACCTAGAATGGGTCAGAAGACTCCCAGTCCACAGGGAGGATGCCTTAATTGTTGCAGGTGACGTTTGCGCCAGCATCCCGCTGTTCAAGAAAGCACTAGCGCTTTTGAAGGCGCGGCGCAATCCTGAGTCCATCGAGGGTCGCTTAACTCGATGCGCCCACGGCAAGAAACAGCCCAGGTGCGCCTGATGCGAGTGACACAGGTATCGCGACGTATTCTTTGTTCCCGGGAATCACGACCTCTGGGTGCCGCCCACAGATGCCGTTGGGGCACTCCGGTGCTCCGTTCGCAAGTTCTTCCAACTCCTCTTTGTTTGTGACCAACTCGAAGTCATCTCTACGCCCGCAGAGCTTTGCGACGGGACCCTTATCCTTCCACTCTTTTCCTGGTACGAACCTCAGTTTGGCAAGAAAATGGATGAAGGGTTTGAACGTACCAAGGATGACACGGTCCAGAAAACCTTCGACACCCTCTGCAGCTGGCCCAGCTTCCTGAAGAGTCTCCCGTCTGACGAACCGGATGCAGAAGCGACGACTAGCTCCCTGTCCTCGAATGTTGACGCGCTTTTCTGCGCGCTCAATGCCAAACATCTTGAGCTCACGAAAGCACTCAGTCCGACTGTCATCGTTTCTTTCTCACACTTTGTCCCACGAGCGTCTCTCTTCCCTGGTTTCAAATGCTTCGCACCTGTCATGGGTTCGACTACCCTCCAGAACCAGGTCCATTCCCTTAGCCCGAATGTCCACGTTTTTGGTCATTCGCACATAGACGTGGATGACTGGATCGACGGTGTCCGGTGCGTCTCCTTGTCTACACATGCTATCCTCTAAAAGGGAAGTCGACACTCCAGGACTAGGTATGTGCAAAACGCTGTCGGCCAGCCAGCAGGTAAAGATGATCTCCTAGAGAAGGCGCCTGTCCTCATTTGGGACGCAGATTGGGTCGATCGCGACATGGCCACATCAGACGACCAAAATCTCCTCGCGTCGAGGGCTTCTGGAGCTAACGATGCTCCCGGAAATTGACACAGAAGTCGATCCTTCCCCGAAGAAGCTTGCACCGACTCCGAGCGAGACCACGCAGACTACTCGCATTGCAGAGCTGTGTCATCAATCATACATTTGCAACAACGTTTACCGTGTTCAACTTTGGAATGCTTCAAAAGGTCGGAACACACTTCAGCACAATCGTCAGCCTCAATGTCGACAAGGTGTTGGAGGACTACTGGAATTACCGAGTCTCCCGTCTACTCAACCTTGAGATTGTCGGCGTTACTGACCAAGCGTTGTGGTGCCATAACCCGTGCTTGTTTCTGAAGGTCACGTGGGACAGTTTTCGCGTACTCGGTCGCAGACACTCTTCTGCCTTGTCCCGCGTTTCACCCGCCGTACCCCCCGTGCCTCTGGTCATGGTCATTATTGCGCCGCTACAATATGCGTCGGAACACCTATCATCATCCAGCGCTGGTTGTGGTGGTCCTCTCCCACCTCGCTGCCTCCCCGGGATCCGGGGTGGCGTTGTGGGTTCTTAGCCAGCCCGCCGCCCACCGCCCTCCTGCGGCAGCGAGATGAAGGCATTCACCCGACCCTTCCAATGGACAGAGGCTGCCTTTGCGGCGGTTTTCGGTGGGCACTGCATCGGTGCAAGTCTGTGCACAGGCCGCGCCATCGAAGCCCGGTCCGTCGGCCTTCATTTCTGGCATTCCTTAATCCAACTGAGCTCGGCCTCCCCTTGCGGCGCCCTTGCGGGGGAAGCCCACCTTGCTTCCTTCAACTAAGCTAGTGGGGGATATGCAAGGTCAAGTGGACGGGAGTTGCATTTACGGCAGTACTATATGTCTCCGGTAAGGGTAGCACTGGCATAGCCAGATATGTTCTCTAAGGAGGACAGCATAGCTAGCTTTCGCGTTCATACCAAGTATATAGACTGGCCTTGCTGTCTCTCTCTCTCTCTCCCTCTCTGTCTCACTGACTATACTACTATCCTACTCCTACCATGCTACGGGGTGGCGCGGCTTATTTTTTTTTAGAGCATACGGCCTCTACTGACATCCAAAGGCTGGATTTGAGTGACGAGGAGCTGGGGCATTTGAAATTGGAATTCTGTGTTATGGCTATGGGTATGTTGTCAGGCGACTCCGTTCCGTCTGCGCCGATCCATGGAGACATACTCCTGACCGTCTCTTAACTGCCGAACGCAAAGAGGATATCTATCCTACAATACTATTGTATAATATTATTATACTGGCCGCATAACACACACACACATACATGAGCAAAAGTAAGTGACCTGCGCTGCGTTGCGCTATGCTGGTCAACGGTTTAACAACGGAGAATGACAGACATCAAGTGGCGGGAGCTAGAACTCTCTTTCGCAAACATTGTCGCGCTGGATTTGCCCGATTCACGACCGAAAGGCTTGATTGTTGGTACGAAGCAGTCGCTGTATTTGTTGATCTCAGTGGGGACTTCATCTGTCGCAAGCGAAACTGAGAATCGATCAGGGACTAATGTTGTATGGGATCAGGACGCATTGCGTCTGCGAGTCGATGAACAGCAATGGAGAGACCCCGGGGCGCAGTTGACTCTTTCAGTGCAGAACGACCGACACCCAGAAGGGCCTAATGTGGGCCCGGCGTCAGCAGGCACGCGCACAAAAATCATCGGTTTGAAACGAGTAGGTAATCGGCCGCACGACCTTGGCATTGAATGCCCTACACACAGCGGTCGATGGGGGCAAACAGCTTACCCTTGAGCTGGAAGGCTTACCACGCGGGTCGCAAGGAATGCTCTCACTGTCGGTGAGTGCAAAGAAGGTCGAAGAAGTAGTGTCAGAAGTCCGCCCAACGGAAACTTGTGAACGCAATGGGGAATCCCTGGCTAAGCAGGACAACTGTAATGCAAATGGCCACAGTTGGGACGCTTTCGGACATCAGAAACTCGACATCCATCCAACTATGGGAGCTTCAGCATTCAAAAGTGGCGACGAAACTTTTGCCTCTGATTTCTGTTCGGAGCGTGTGCAGGCTATATGGCCTATTACAGATGCGATCATCGCAAAGCGCCTGAGCAGTCACTTTCATGGCCACTCTTACTCTCCTGGGCAGCAGCTTCTCCCCTTTAGGTTGATTCGATTGGACGTTACGTGGCCGAATGTCGCCGAGTGGAAATCAGGCCCAATGTCCTGAAGATGTATGTCGACTACCTCTCTAGGCCTGAATCGCAGGCAGCGCTGCTTCACGAGATTGTCTACGAGAACGGGTGTGTGATGGCGCCGATGCTTCGGCGCGCCTTTGATAGGACCGCAGCTGAGCATGCGGTGCGATACGCGGGGGAAGGAGCGCAGATGAGCAGTAGCGGCATGCTCAAATTGAAACGATCAATTTCTGGGACACGAAGGTCCAAATCCATGGAGCCTCTGGTATCGCCGCGGCGTTATGCAGCGTCCATTCGTTCGCTGGTGTTGGCCGAGGACGAGATGACCTTGATGGAGAAAAATCCGCCACCAGACCTTGACAAGGATGCTACCTTTCCTTGGAAATCCATCGAGGATCCCGTGACGGGCGTAGTCTCCTGGCTCAACATCGATACAGGAGTCTCATCAGTCGAGGAACCACGTCGGATCTGGGAACACAAGTTGGACGACCTCGAGCGTTTGAGACCGATTGGTCACGTCGCACGAGCTCGAGATCGAATGCCTCTGGCAGATTCAACTGCCCTGGACTCTTCTTTGGAAACCAATTTCCGAAAAGAAAGGCGTCTCGACGCAATAGTTGCCGGCTGGGATTGGGAAGAGGATGACGCGGACGCTCGACGTCGCAAGCATGCCGCGCATGCAATGCGGAAGCGAATTCACGAGGAAACCTGTCGCCGCCAGATCAACCCAACCCACAACGAAGCCGTCGCAAGCGTGGTGGTTCAACTAGTCTCCCAAGTTGAGCTCCGAACGTCAGCCGAATCCGATCGCCTCGCTCGTTGTCATCGAAGGCTCGTGCAAACCAGCTGGCATCCTGCCGTGGGTCGTCGTCACATGCGACACCTTCGAGGTTCCCTTCCGAGGGGAGAAAATTGCGTCGACCTTGAATATGTTGATGCGTTCCTCACGACCTGTGGCAATGCACTCAGCCGCGAGCCCTCGAGCCTTGAGTCGGACTGCAACCACACAGATACACCCCCAAAGTCCCCATCGAGAAATCCGTCCTCGTTCCAAAGCCTTCTGAATAGTTCACTTCGTAATCACGGGGTATTTCATTCGTTCCATGTGCCTGCTACACCAAATACATCCAGGATGCATTTGTCACCCTGCCGAGACGAACGCAGTGCGAATTCGGAACGAAGCGGTGCATTCTTTACAGCAACTCTGAATCTCGAACTTTCTCTTTTGTTGCCACCTACGTTCACCACGATTCAGACATCTCAGCCACCCTGGACAGAGTCAAGTAATGCATTTGCTGGAGGCAACCTGCATTTAGAAACTAGAAAAAGTAACAAAGACAAAACTTTGAAGCGCCTAGATACTCGAGCCCGTCGTCGTTTTGAGAGCCTATTACTTCGTGATGTGTGTAGGGCTGCGCAACTTTCGAGCTCTCGTGTAGCACTGGATGAATTTGTGACCATCAGGACTGAGGCGGTCAATTCCAAGGTTAGTACCTGCGTAGTAGGAGCACCGTTGCCTGATCCGAAGCTGTCGGAAACCCTTGCAATGCGCATGCGACGTGCCCTTACGGTTCGTGTAGCTAGTCATGCCGGCAAGCTAATCGAAGGTCAGCTTCTAAAGACACGAAAAGCGCTCGGCTGGAGAGCGGATCGCTCAAACCTCATCGTCGCAAAGATCAGCATCGTTGGTACCAGCTTTGCTAATGCATACAAGTCAGCATCTACCGTTGCTGCAGCCGCACAAAACCCTAGCTCACACCTGCGGCGATTGGGGTCTATTTGTTGTTGCTGCGTTGATGGCGCTGCAGCGGATACCCTGGAGCTGAGAAGGCGGACCTGGGCCCAATACTGGGTGTTTTCGTGACTCCAGTCTTTTTTGGGTATGGTACTCAAGAATCTATTGTGAACCGCGAATGGTCTGGCAAGAGCGTGCTAGTGAATGCAGACACCGAAGCATTGGAAATAGAATCATCGGAATCTGAAAGATCAAATTTTGATATAGTTCCCAGGACGCTTGATTCCAAGCTCATGTTGCGGGAACTGAATGCATGCAAGGCAAGAGTTGCGTATGATGCCGTGATGAAGCGGCCTCTTGTCCTCGGCTATGATAATATCGAACACATGACTGCGATTTTCAGTGTCTTGATTTGTAGTAGTCTGGTCATCATCAGTAGCTTGATTACCCTTTTGAATAGGTTCCACAATTTAAAGCGCAGGGAAGAAAGGACCGCACTGAACGTCAGTTCAAAGTACAACAGCGCTCCGAGGAAATCAAACAGCTGAGATTAAGCAACAGGGAGCTTCCACCGTGGTGGCAACGGCCGCGTACTAAGCCGGCGTCTTTTCGATCTGGTTTGTTGCATTCTGCTCTGTCAACTGATGCCTCGCTACGGACGACAGCGCGTGCATGTTCAAGACGCCGACAAAATGCAGCGAAGGCCCGCGTGCATCGACTTCGTGCAGTGTCTTTGAGGGCAAAGCGGGCAGCGATGCGGCTTTGGCTTGTTCGGAAACTTGCATCCCTGACATCGGAGCCGAACGCACTGTTGTCTCAATTTAAAAATCTGTATGAAAGAGAGTGCGCAGACGAAGAGGCTCGAGTCGTGGCGGTGCAGCGTGATAATGCATCAGCTGATTTTGTGGAGCATTGGGAGCGGACCGAGTCGCGGAAAAAACGCATCAGCCGAGACATTGAAACAGCTCTTCGCTGGGTGCATCGTGAGGCGTGTGCTGAAGGCTATGCCGCCACTACCGACAATGAGCCGCATACGCCTGTGCGCAAGCGAGAGTTGTTTGCTACACTCTTCGAGGCACCAACATGTAGCTGGGCAGTTCAGCTACCTCAAGGTATGGCCTTGGCTCCCCTCCTCCTGCAGCATGACTTCGCCATCGCGTTTCTCCTTGCCCCTGTCGAGCAGCCTGGATATATATCAGTCGAGGAATTTGTGATCTTTGGTCTTGTCGTGGCCGAGATCGAACCAAAGTTTCACCAGGTGAAAGAAGATCTCGCTGCTCATCGTGCTGCTTCGGGAACGCAGCGATGGACCCACCAGAGCGCAGATCGGGATCCTAGCATTGAGACACTGCCCAAAGACGGAAGCCAGAGAGCCATGGCTCAGCTTGCTGGAACAGGAACACGAGAGGACCCAGGTTACTGGGCGCGAGCACACACGCATATCATGGTTCGCTTCGATATCGAGCCAGCTTACTGCTGTATCTGTCGGCGCAATCGAGCCAGTATTCAGATTGAGACCGCCCGGAAAGCTGAATCGAGGTGGAGTGCAGAATGGTCCACAACACGCGAGCGCAGGCTTGACGAGCTGGTGCCTGACATCCGCGAAGAAGTTGACAACAGGCGTCGCTTCAGGCGGCTAGAGGAATCCCGGCGAACTGAAGTCGCTCTGACACTCCAAAATTTGCTGGATTCTGTCTCTGCTGACGAGGAGCGTGGCATCATCACGGCGGCCATCCTCAAGGCTATTGTCTCGTCCATTGTCTTGCCAAGAGTGCCATATACTGCCCATGTAAAACACAACCTTTACGAGAAGTTTGGTGGAGCCCTTCCCAGCGAAGCACGGGATGGAGGTTCTGATGCTCTTCGCCTTGACCAGCCGAAATCGTCACACGTCCCGGTCCGCGTCATAGTATATGCATCTCAGGATGATGGGGTTAACCACCTCATTGCCGAAAGTAATGTACCACAAGACGAGCTCACAGATCCACCGATGATGCCCCTCCTCATAGACCTAGGACAAGGGGCCGCTCTCAAATTGAGGATCAAGCATAGTAGGGATGCACATTGTACTCCGCAACTCTGCGTCCTCAGCGCGAGCGGCTTGCGCCTTCAAGATGATGTTAGTGCAAAGCAGTCCAGACGTTTTGAGCATAAAGAAAACAACGGTATGACCCAGCTCCTCGGGGGGAATTCATCTACGCCGACTCCTGCTGCGCCTTCACCTGCAATTCGGCCTTGCGCCGCACCCATGTTTGCGCCTCTCTCTAATATTCTAGCACCAGTGAGCTCCGGTAGTTTTGGTGAAAGCGAGTTCCGTCGGGTTGACAACATGCGGGGGACGCCTTCTCTCTTGAATTCATTTTGTGCTATCTACATGCAAGACACTGAGGTAGGACGGACACGTACCGCAATTAAGACGTGCAACCCAGTTTGGGCCAAGGAGGATGCTGATGGGCCGTGGGTTATCCTAAAGATACGCAGCGCAAAGAGGAGTCCTGCGCAGTTAAGGCAACTTATGATTGGTAGCGCGGAACGCATCAAGATGGAAGCAACGCTCGCAATGCAGATTTCACGTCAATTTGATGCACGTGATGCCGAACTTCTCCGTGCCACACTTTCACGATCAGGTGCACTGGACAGTGGTGAAATTGAACGATCAATGATGGCCACAGAAGAGAGGCATTCTCGCACCGTGGCGGAAGGCTCACTTCAAAAACGTGAAAATTATTTATTGCATGAGCAGGAAGAAGGGCAACGATCCCTCCATCTATTGATTGGCGAGCTTACTGAGCGCGGCGTGACCTCGTTCCTGACTCGACTCACCTGGCTTGAATCTGTTTTACCAACTGGCGGACCTTCTGGTCCGGCGGCACATGTCATGCTCGATCCAGCTTCAGGGAAGTCTCTGCTTCTTCGCCTCCTTCCGCTGCAATATGCTTCCGATGTGGAACACGTGGTGTCTGTCGCAGAGAATCTCCGTGATCTTCGATGCCGTGGTATCATCAGAATCGTATCTGTCCAATCCCATGAATTTACATCATTCAACATTCACGGCACCTGCAGCCAGGTCTGGACGCTAGTTGCATTTGTCACCTCCAACACTGGCAGTCGCTGCCTCACTGATCAAATTGAAGGCTGTCGGCAGGCCATTAGTGCAAGCGCAGTCCAAAACTGGGCGCACCAGATAGCAGTGGCTCTTGCAGCGCTACACCATGGCAATCTCCTGCACCAAAACATTCATCCCCGTGCGATCTGCCTTGACGAGGAAGGTCGCGCTGTTCTCGATGACTTTCTCTTCATGACTGATGCACGTCCCCCTCATTGCACTTATTCTCGTGGTCGATCTGACTATGGCGCTATTGCCAAACAACTTGTCGCGCCTGAGATAACCTATTTTTCTGGCGCCGTCTCACCCAAAACCGACATCTGGGCGTTTGGCTGCTGCATGTATCACTGGATTACGGGCATGCTACCCCCAGTTGACTCGCACCCACAATCCCAGCGGTGGCTTGCAGAAATTCCTAGGCGATTTTACGGGGCCCTTTACCATGCTATCGGCCTTGCTCTCCAGGCACACCCAGCGGCCCGTGCAACGGCGAGTGACCTCGTACGCATTCTCTCAGCTTAGGTCAGCTGCAGGGCCTGAGTTGACACCCCTCAGAGGTGTGCTGCATCGACACTATTAGAGAGACAGGGAGCATTAGCTGCCCACTTGTACAGATCCGCGTCTAGGATGTTCCTGGAATTGCCATTCCCCGCAACAGAAGCCTTTGTGAAGCAGCGACCAAGGCCTTGAGCACCCTGCCAGTAATTTATAGGGCGGCATGCTAGTTGCCTCTGCGAGTTGCCTCTACGGCGGTACTGTATGTTTCCGAAACTGAGAAGGAGAAGAAGAAGATGATGATGATGATGGTGGTAGTGACGACGGCGGCGGCGCTCGCGGTCGGCGCCGGATCCGGCGCAAAAAGGAGCAGAAGGGCGTGGGGTTAAGCACAAGTGGCGACGGCCACTTCTCTATGGGTTCCGGCATGTGCTGGTCACGGTCGATGGACTTCTTAAAGTTCCGCTTTGACGACGGCCTCGATGCTCTCGACCACAGAGCCGCATGCTGAAAATTTGGGCGACTTCGAGCATGCCCTTGGCGAACTTCCTCGTGTTGAGCCGACGCAGCTGCACCATAAGCGCTAAGGAGAAGGAGGAGCCTAAGGCACGGTATGAGTGTACCGGCTAGTGTGGCGCGGGCCTCTCTGATACTAAGGCGCACCAGATAACCGTCGGGGCCGAGGTAGTGAGAGACCTTCATTATGGTGACTTTGAAACTTGTGTCATGCTAAGCGCGGTCGTTTTCGCTCGATGATGTCAGCTCGCGTGGTTTCCGCAGTTTGCAATGAACACATGGGATCTGATTGTTCGAGGTAGGACACATAACGCGCATCTGTGCGAGGCAGGGCGTCTATTTTCGAGGACAATTGCTGCTGGAGGCTATGCCAGACGGCGAGAACCTTGCCAACGCGCACAGCGATGACAACGCCGCGCCCTTCAAAGACCACCCCCAGGTTTTGAAGGCGTCTAGCGACATCCTCAGCCTCATTGAGCAGGTCAATGGGGAGACCAATATCAATGTGGCCCAGATACTCACGGCAATTTTGGATGAAGAAACCGAAGTCCATCCACCTTTGGGGATCATCCTTGATGCTGTCATCGTCAGACATTCTTGAAATCAATTCTTCTATATTCTCAAGTGTCTTTCGGATCGACACAGCAATCTCTGAAGCGATGTCGAAGCTACCGGCCGCAAGGATTGCGTCCACCTTTGCAATTAATGATCGTTCAAGAACAACACAAGATGAGCAATAACGCGGTCAGGAACGGCGCCAAAGCGCATGTCAAGCTTCTCAAAAAGGCAGAGTTGGATTTGGAAGCCAACGTTTGGGTAGATACAAGCACGTTTCGATGATGCAAGCGCGAGACTAGACCAAGCATGGTAGGATTATCCTGTTCAAGTAGGACGCTGGATTGTTACGCGTCAACATAGGAGGTCTTGTTTCGGACCATAAGCATCGCTATAATCAAAGTCGCGGAGCGGGAGATGCCACGACCACAGTGTACAAGTACAGCTTTTTTTTCCTTCATGTTTCTATCAATAAATTTGATAGCCCGTCTCATATGATTGAACACCTAAGTACTTGCACATATGAGCCTTATGGTGTGATCAGTATCTCGCACGAGCTGTGTTGGCGTATCAAGAGCCTCGAGGAAAAGGGTTTCGACGTTTTCTGCAAACCAAAACTTGAGCGCTTCGCTCATCTGTCCAGAGTCAGTTGGGTAGATGGCACGGGGCATGATTGTCACAATTCTCGTTATTTTATTGACCTTGAGCCAGACGAGATCCCGGACGTTATCCTCGGATCCAAGCCACAAGTGATCACATATTTGTGACGCTTCGCCCTGAATAAGTGGAAGAAATCGTTCATCCTCGTCAACAGTCTCGACCCATTCGTGATTCATAGTGAATTTACGGTGCAAGCGCGCGTCTGCCTCAATTCGACGAGGTGTTTCTACTACAACATGGTCTTCGACAGGCTGACTTTGGCCGGGCTTGGGGCCTCTGTCCCGGCGTTTCCCGTCGGCCAACGGCCACGTGGCGCCCACGTCCGCGCCCTTTAGAGCCCCGCAGCGCGTAAACTACGCCCTTAATGTGCCAGAGTCCAACAAATTATCAATTCACATAGTAGGCCCCACATAGTACCTTTCCGTCACGTTTGTACTTGTAGGTTTCTGAAGAAGCCCGTAGAGAGAAATACCCAAAACTGGGGTACTAAGGAACGTTGAGGTAAACGTTACGGGGTAGTGCAGTGTCATCTCCATAGTGTGACGTCGCGATAGTGAGGGAACAGGGTAATGTAAATTACGGGGATGATGGGGAATTACGAAGCTACTCAATTCAGGTAGATCCCTTTTTCAAGTTCACTACACTGACTACGAGGAATTCCCTTTTCAGGTTCAGCCTCGCAACTCTCCTTACGCATAAACCGTGGAGAATTAAAGTACAAGAGAGGAGAGGAGGAGCCTAACTAGGGATACTCTCAGGATCGGGATCCTCTAACTAGGAAAACTCTCTACACCCCCAGAATTGAAACTTCAATTCTAGAGTTTGAAATAGGTCAGAAATGATAACATCAAACATCGGAGATCATCTATCTCAAACTGGAGTGCTCATAATCCAAAGAAATACTATACTCAATAAGACACATTCAATACAAGTATGCGTTTCCTGTGGACGGACGCGCTTGCCCGCGATGATATTGGCATCATCCACTTCTCCCTTGCGCTTCTCTAGACGATAAACCTGTAGTTTACCGTCCATATCCGGCGCCTCGGCGTCCGACATAGCTGTCAAATTATTATAAACGGCCACGGGGATCTTTTGTCGGATTCTCGGATAATTCATGGTTCGTTCTGTGTATGATCCTGACCCCAAATTTACGTCCCTGCAACATACGAAAGGCCAAGTGGACGGAAATTGCATTTACGGCAGTACAATATGTTTCCGGTAACGGGTTAGTGAGTTTAGACCACCTATCATCATCCAGCTAAATAAAACTGCTGGTTGTGGTGGTCCTCTCCCAGCTCGCCGCTTCCCCGGGGTCCGGGGTGGCGCGGCTTATATTTTTTGGCCCGCCCACCACCCTCCTTCGGCACAAATGAAGCACCCGCCCTACCCTGCCCTCCTCCATCCCCGCTGAGGTGGCTGCGCCATCCAAGCGCGGTCCGTCGGCCTTCATTCTGGCATCTTTAATTGAAACTGAGCTCGGCCTCCCCTTGAAAATGGACAGAACCTGATGTAGATGTAAAAGAATCAATCAAAAACTTAATGCTATGAATTTCGGCGCTTCCATCCAAATTTTGTTGATTTCCAAGCCGCCGTCATCATGAATATGATCTCGCTCTTGTTCAATGCCTTACACGCAGCGGCTGTGGCCCGCAACAGTGGGGATGTACACAAAAACATGTACACAGAGCTCTCAAGAGTCGTCTACTCCTATTGTCAATGCCGCAATAAGGAGCGAGCATGGAGTACGCCACCGAAGGCGTGTGTAGGATTCCGGGGGCTACCTCGGAAGACGCCTCCCCGAGTTTCTGTCTCTATCCTCACTTATCTCCCGGCGGCTGTGTCTCGACTTAAAGATACGGTTTGTCACTACGCAGCCATGACTGATGTTGTGGATGCAATCCTGATACAGTGGAATAATAACGAATTCAAAGCGCCATACCTCGGTAACTGCATCAATCTCGCAAAGAGCAATGATATCGTCGTCAAGACACAAGTTTACGCGCAAAATACCTTGTTGAACCGATATCTGGCTACTGAAGATATGGGCCCCCTGACGATGCTCCAGGACGATGATGTAAGATATGGTGAACGAGCAGTGCGGGCATTTGCCGCCGTCGCAGCGCTATTTCCTAAGTCGGTCGTGGGTGTCAATGGGCGTATGGCCATTGCTTACAAGAGCCCCGGTGCTGTCGCAAGATACTTTCATCCAGACAAGGGGCCGGGGCGCTACTTAAATGACTCACTATTTCGTATTGACGGTAGGAACACAAGCAAGCATCTCTACAACATGGCCACGGGAACCACATCGATCCTGCGGCGGTCTATCATTGAACACTTTGTAGATGTACCACAGGCATCGAAAGATTATATCTCCACCCACAAGCCTACGTGTGAAGACATCACACTTCATTTTCTCGCATCCAACATGACACGGCAGCCACCTATTTGGTTCCGACTCCATCACGACGACGGCGGTGAGCTTGACAAGTTTGGAGACGGTGACGGCCTAGAAATGCACCTCCACGTTTCCAATTGGGCCGACCTTAGGGCCAATTGCGTTGACCGCGTCGCCTCCGACTTCGGCCGTTTCCCCCTCGTGCAGACAAACTGTCGCTTAGACCTCCATCGTTCCCAGCTCAAGCACATGGGCCCAGCTGTGTGGTGATTGGATACGCTAATACCACGTGCGTAGACAATGACTGGGGGCATCGGTACTTATCGGTAAATTACCACGGGTCGGTAGAATTAGAGTTGCTCGGCTGTTGACCCTCGGTCGTGACATCGTTTTATTGTAGCGCGACCTCGGTATCCGACACGGGCATCCGATGCTGCGGCTCCTAGACCTGGCGCCGCGCTCGGTCCGTGGACCATATCGCGCATTAGGCCTTGCTGCGAGTCGCTCAGAAAGATCATCGGTCGAAAGCGACCAACACTGGCAGGGAATATCACCAGGCTCGATTCTAGACTGTGGCTTTCTCCGAAGCCAGGCGCCATCGGGTAGCCCTATATGCCATTGTTGGTGAAAGCATCGGCGAGGAAGTTGTCTTAACATGGGCTGCTCCCGGCTCAAGATTCCACCATGGTGTCTACTTTAACATGCTACTTGTGACACCGACTGGCCGCTCCTCGACTACGACCTTCTCTCCAGAGCTATATGAGCGTCGGGGCCGTATTCGAGGCCAAGGCTTGCTACACAAGATCTCTGCGAGCAAGGGTAGGTTGTCGCCAAGACACGGGTGCAGTGGCTAGGCCACTACACCCGCAAATTCCGCCATGGCTTCTACCGCAGGCAGGACGTACCCACAGTCCTCGTAAGGTCCGGGGTTGTTCTGGCCGTCGGAAGATCCATAACCGGAGAAGCACGCACAAACTCCCGTCTCTCGAGAGCATAGGCCGCGCCCAGAGCATTCTTCCCATTCTTTGGTGCCTACAAGTAGGGTGAGTTCACGCTGCCAAGCGCAACTACGGTGGACTCTCGGGAGTACCCGCCGCAGACTCGGAGATGGTGAATGCAGCATCTGAGGCCTCGAGGAGAGGAAGATCGCCAGTGGGACGAAAGAATTCAATGAGGATGTCGGTGCCGGACGTTGAGCAGACAAAGTTTCCGCCATCGTCGCCGCCCACAACATAGAGACTGATTTTGACATCCCAGATTGTGTCTAGCGCCTCAAGCGCAACTTCGAGCTCTGAAAGAGTTAATGTAGCTGGGTTCAACGGCTCGGTGACTTCCTCACGAAAAGTGAAGTAAACAATGGATGATGTGTCGTCATCAAGATCGCAGGTCACAAGTTGGACCTCATTGTACTGCGAGTAGTCTGACAGAGGGTCGTCGCCGTAGGGACACAACTGGCCAGAGCAGTCGTAGTTCGTATAGCCCGAGTTGCATTTGCAGCCACGGATTGCCTCAAAATCCCAGCGGAGCGCATCATTTGGTGTCGCTCCGTACGTGAGGTCGGTCCTGACACCTGTGGTAGGTCCAAATAAGAACTGACAGAAAAGATACCCCCCCCTGCCCTTGAAACGAATACTGAACGCTCTGATAGGCGCACCGTTCTCTGTGGCAGCCTCCGCCAGAAGTTTCATGCTTAGACACTCGCCATGGTCGCTGCACGGGGCTTCCCCGGGACAGGAGAGATATTGGCAGGCTGCGCCCTCAAATCCCAGCGCACATTCGCATTCGCCGTAATCTACGTTGCATTTGCCCATGTCACTGCACTCGGTCATTGCAAGGTGCGCAAAATCATCATCAGTCGGGTATGAGAACCAAGATCGGCCTTTGGGACAGGTCATGAGGCTGCAGTCCGCTCCAGAGTAGCCATCCTGGCAGCTACATGTGTAAGTCACCGAGTCACAGTACCCGAAGCCACTGCATGGTACCTCACCCGGGCAGTCATTGACCTGTGGTGTGTCGCATGATAATTCCCCAGATATTCTCTTTAGACGGGTCAACACATGGGGCAGGTACGGACACAGTGGGCAACTACAACAAGTGCAGCTCCGCAGTCGCCGCGTGACCCTTCCCTGCCAAACCCGTCGCTTGTTGTCCAGCAATTTGTACTGCAGGTCGAAAGTGTACTGCAGTCACAATTACCAAGGCTTGTATCACAGATGCCCCGACCGGAACAAACCGCGTCTTCCTTCGAGCTAACACGTGCCTTCTGTGCCAACACCGAGGCCGTTCCCGTGGACAGTACCAGGGCGCCCACATTGGCTTGGACAAGGGGGAGCTGGTCACCAAAGTCCTGCAAGAATTCTATCGTTGTCGTCGTCGATCCATCTTTAGAGCACCACACCGTTGACGGTGCCGAGAGGCTGATGCCCACGGCATCCGCACCTCCTACTTGAGCAATGGTCGGGAGGGCCTCAAGCTTGCTCTTGATCTGGTTTGCACTACTGCTAGCCGAAATTTCGGTCGTCCAGTGGCCTCCGAAGCCCAGAAGGACCGACCCATCGTCCGCCGTGCACGTCAGGTGTTGCTTCTCAGTCTGCCCCATCAAGGTCATCGGGTCATCACCGCTTGGGCACATCCGCAGGCTGCAATCAAAGCCATAAAAGCCCTCATCACACAGGCAACCGTACAGCATCGTTGCGTCCCAGACATTTTCATATGCTGGTACGCTCGGCATCGACCCATCGGTCTCAAATGTGTACGAGTTTAGGCCGAAGCCCGGCTCACGAGTTGTTGCAAAATATTTCATGGACACGCATCTCCCATTCAGTGAGCATTCGTTGGGACAACTCTTTCGTTCGCAAGCCGCGCCTTCCCAGCCCTCCGCGCATATACACTTACCGGAAGAGGTCTCGCAAAGGCCTCGCCGCGAGCACTCGATCGACGAGTGCGCAACGTCTGACTCCGTGATAGCGTCTGCCTCATCTGCCCATGCAGGCCCTGATGGACACGTTCGTAGCGAGCCTAGGGTTGTAGATCAGTTGCCAGTAGATTTACTGCGCAGGTACGCGGGAGAAGCCACAGTCAGCGCCTGTATAACCTGCGTAGCATTGACAGCGCCGGTCGCCACTATCGCACCATCCGCGTCCGGAGCATAGGTTGGGACATGGCATGCTAAGGAGCTGGGGCAAAGATTGCGACAGGACCCCAATGATCGCGCCGGACGCGAGGGAGCCGCGCGCTAAAAAACCGGGGCGCATCACCACCCCAGTCCGTTGCAAAACTCGAATGTTCCGTTCAGTTTCCATGCAACCTCGTGAGCTAGTGGACGGAAATGCGCGGTTCGGTCGAACGCGCTATACGAATACTAGATTGCGCACCCCTGCGTTATGGACAACGCCTTCGCATAGTGTTTCAAGCCCTAGAGTCTGACAATAGTGGGTTCGTAGAAATCAGTCAACTTTGCGGCAATTCCTTGCTTTGCAATCGTATCGGCGCCTGTTTGAACAGCATCGGAGCGTACACTTTTTTCAACCAGTTCGATGCAGATGTTTCGGGCCGTTTATACTTTCACGAGTTTGTCATTTGCTTGGCTAGACAAGCTCAACATGCCCACGTAATCGGTGCATCAGATCACTTGTTCTTGAACGCATGGACTTGTGCGTTACGCCCATCCAACAAAGGAGTTCGCAGAGGCCGTGATTTGAAGCATGCTTTGATTTCTGATCCACTGTCGCCTCTTTTTGTGTTTATACCTAGCTTGGGGGCGGTGCTTGCACCTGAAAGGACCTTTGGCTTCTTCTCTGATTTCCTACGCGATGCCAAGGCTGCAATTTGCTTCGAATTAGCAGCAGCAATCAAGATGAGTTGCGATGCGAAATTGGTGGATATCATTCCATCGGTTAATGAATATCGCCAGGAATCAAAAAAAGGACAACACAAATCAGGACTTCCACCTTGTCATTCCGAGTCGTCGCTTCAAGATGTTCACTCACTTGTGTCAGTGTCTCTCGGCCGCCTTGGCTCCAACCTGTGCCAATGGGGTTCTGGGGTTCTTAGCATCAACCCATAGGTCACCTTGCACGCGGAAATCTAGCTAGCCTCCATTCGGTGAAATCCTTGTTTGAGCCCCGCGAAGTCAAATTTAAAAATGTGTATGCGACTGGGTATTCTGCTGTAAATTCATCAATGTATTTAGATAGATTAGACTTAAGACTCTGCACCGACCTACATGATGAGCATTCAGGAGCTTGCTGTCGGCCATGGTTGAGAGCACACCTCGGACTAAAGAAAATCAAGCAATGTGCTGCTTGTGTTGGATCGAATTTCTTACGCGAATGAGCTGTGCAGATAGTTCTGGTTTCAAGTACATCGCGTATGGGATAGGTTTCGAAAACGACAGGAGGAACTCCGAAGTTCAGCACCTTGAATCTGAGGTAATAAAAGACTCGTACGCCGCATTGAAGGATGGCCACGGACTAGCTGTGCAGCGCCTCCGGGCTGAACTTGCGGTGCGAGCAGGTGTCCCTTTAGGAATATAGACTGCGGGTGATGTAAATTACCGGCAGGCGATAACCTTGCAGAAGACTAGAATCCTTACTCAGAAGCGTCTTGCGTTCAGGGTTCTAACTTATCTCAACTCGCATTGTTGGTTAATTAAACGAATTTTTAAACAAGGTGCTCGTGATGCGGAATGTGCCGTGCTTGCGCTCAAAGTTGATCACCTAATGGCACTGAAGTCAATTAGCCCTGAAGAAATTTTCTGCGATACAGCACCACATAGAGGCAGATCGCAATTTGATGTTCTTGTTTGTACATCAGTCAAGATCAACCTGCTGAGAGACAGGCTTTCTTCCGCTCTCAGGGAAATAGCAAGATTGCGGTCGATAACATACAGAAACGAAGCTGAATTGCAGTCACTACGAGGTGTCCAGGTTGAGTCCGCGCAAATACTGCAAGCGTCTAGAGGCACAACAGAAGCTCTAAGCGCGGCAATGATACGCGAAGTAGTGGCCGCCGCTCGTCTTCAAAATATAAAACGCCAGAATACAAGCCTTCAGCTGGAAGCGACTAAAGCTGAAATGCTTGAAACGGACCTTCATCATGTTCGGAAAGTCTTACAAAAAACGGAGACTGACTGTTGTACAATAGTGGGTGATTCGCGTGAGATGCCTCTTGTGCAAAAATCACACCCACGCGCGCCCGATCGTGATGCTAGTAGCTGCTATCTCGCACATAAGGTGGGAATCTCACAGTCTCTACTTAAGTGTGTGCTTGTAGGTTGGATGGTTGATTAAAAGCCAGCGAAACCTCCATCGTCGACTCGCAGGCCTTGTTTTCGATAGGGAGCTCATACCACTCCTTCATGCTGAGATCAGTGCATTGAAAGGTAGACTCTACGCAATGAGCCGGAAACTGGTAAGTGATGAGTTTAAAACTGAATCACTAGCACGACTCTTGAGCTGCGCTCGAAGCGCTAAGAAACACGCTGCTGCTCTGCAACTACAGCTAGGCATCATTGGAGCGGATTCTTACGCCGAGATTCCAAGCAGTGGTAATTCGTCTACTCTACAGATGATGCTTAATGAAGCTCAAGATGAGCACCAGCCAGTGTCTTTGAAGCCGCGCCCTCGTGTCACTTAGATCCTTTATAGACTTAAAATTCTTACTGAACAACTTGCGATGCAAACAAAGCGAGCGCACATTGCCACCTTTGGGCTTGCCGCCAGCTCTCATGACAAGCAAGATGCTCTTGCGAATTCCCGCAGTAGCAAGAAGGCCTTCGAGCAAAATCACGCCCCCGGAACTATACAGGCTGCAAGCTCTACTGGCCACTCCCCAACAGGACAGAGAACACCATCGTAATTGTTATCCTTGTGGCAGCAGAAGCAATACTGGCCGCTGTTGACTTCCGGGCACGGTGCCTGTTCCACCCGTGCTCCTCCGTGCCACTTTGCAAAGTAAAGCGCCTCCTATTTCTCGCGCCAGGGGCCGTGGCGAGAGTCGGTGGTGGGTTCCATTAGGGCTTCGCGACCGTCGGGGGGGGCGTTGGCGAAGGCTCCCGGCCCACCTGTAAAGAATCTAAGTCCCCTCCTAACATATCCCGCCGGCGGGATATGTTAAACGCCGCTTCAACTTAGACTTCAACCTCAAACCTTGCACGTCAACAGGGACCTCAACACAGCCGCTTGCCCTTCAAAAGGGACCTCAACACAGCCGCTTGCCCTTCAAAAGGGACCTCAACACCGCCGCTCACGCCTTGCGGGGGACCTCTGACGCGCCGCCCACGCCTTAGGGGGCGCGACCCGCCCCGAACCACGTGCCAGAAGCCCTCCAGAAGCCCTCCAGAACCCTTCCAGAACCTTCCGCGGACCCGAAATACCCCAAACCCCTTACGATTTTACGATTTCGATTTCCCCAACTGCTCACCCCTAGTAAATTGCCCTTTAAGCTCCCTCAAGTTAGCAAAATGCTGTTTTCAGAGCAAACTGCAACGCCGCCGCCTGCCTCGTCAAACTGCCCTTCAAGCTCCCTGAAAGTCGCAAAATGCGGTTTTCAGGGCAAACTGCTGATCAAATTAATGAGCCGTAGTGATTATAATTGCCCCACGTATATATCATAAACGATGCGAGCCATTCGTTTAAAGGTCTGCATCTCCTTTTAGCTGTGCGCTCCGAGCCATCAGTGTCCCAAGGTTCATCATAGATTGTGAAGTTTATTCCGCCAGGGGTTAGTTTTGCTTATGGTTCGCTGTCTATAAGACTTGAAACTGGATTGGAATGGATTAAGGAAGGGAAGAAATACTAGCAGGATACACAGTAGGAGCGCAGTGGGGTAACTAGGATGAGGGTAGAAACCTCTCTATCTCAGGCTCTCTACTAGCAAAACGCTCTAGTCACGCCACTACGGCGCTGTACAACGCCAACTTAGGCACGCGCATGCGGAGTGGGCCATCCAAAATCCCCCTCCACGCCCCCCACCACACAGATGTAGTGAAGACTAGTTCCCAATCAGTTCATGCACATGTGAGTTCAACTGTCGTGTGTCAGTGATCTTGATCTCATGGATTCGCCGAGGACCGTGGAGTAGATGCTACTCGCTAGCGGGAACGTAAAAATTTGTGAATCTTTTGTGACGGTCTCCTGATTGAGAAGGATACCTCCGAGGCGAATCTTGGTGACACGCCAGCGCTGGTAGGCGCTCCAAACCTTGAATGAAGCTTCGTCTGCGCCCAATCGGTCACTGCTGTTTATGACTTCCACATCGGCCGTCTCTTCTCCTGCCTCCGTCTGTAGAAGACGTGCGATCATATCTTGTTCCTCATCAACATCCACAGAACTTAATCGATTATCCTGCACATTGACCAGATCGGGGGCAGCCGGAACGCGCGTGGTTTCTTCATCATTCACATCAACGATCGCGCCATGCTCATCTTCAGACACGCTCGTTGCCTGCCCACAACCCTTACGTGGAGCAGGAAGGTTTTCCATTTTCCATCCGCGATGCTTTTTTGTCGACCGTATTGGAAGGATTCGGGAAAAAGCGCTTATCATGTCTGATCGGGTTTAGGACGGCAAGATTTATTACTAGGCATGATCTAATCATCTTGTGCATAAACGCAGACTTATCCCCGCTTGCGCGTTCCCATGCAGTTTCAGTGACATATTTGCCTATTTGATCGATAGTATGATCCAGCAGATTATCCATGTCCAGGTGATGAGACTCATTGCGCGGGGAGAAGGTCTTAGTCTTTGCTTCAGCAGTAAGATAAAAGGCCAACCACATGGGGGTCAATTTGCCTTCAACCCTCAACTTGGGGTGCTTGCCGATAAGACCGGTGGCCTCCTGGCGACGCCTGCCCGTTTGTACCCGAGAGCCACAACCCCAGGGCGTCCTTTGGGGGGTTGACATACCGCGGTCTCTCGCCCGGCGCCTGCGTGAGGGTGGCGAGGGCGGCGTGTAGCGGGAATTGTCCCTTCAAGGTATGCTTCTCTTACTAGCTTGAGGTTCACAGTGCAGTGGATATATGCCAGCCTAGTTGCCCATTTGTATCTTTTGTACGAGGATACGCGGGTGCGGTACAGTACGCTACTCTACTACTATTCTACTACTATCATGCTAGTATTGTATCTACCCGCGGTATCTTCTTCTTTCTTTCTCTTGCACATTTTTAGTGACCGAGGAGCCTGGGAGCGCGATTGCAGCTCACTGCTTAGTGTTACTAGATCCCCGCCGGTTGGCTAGGGCAGTGTAAATATCTACCTTTCTAGTATACAGTGAAGGCTTTATTCCCTTTACAGGCGCGGTCCGCGAGGCGGCGCGCGTCGTCTTCGAGTCGGTGGGAGAGCTAGCCGCGCCGGGATATTAGTCGGGTCGAGTGGGGCCTAAAGGGAGGCTAGAGACCGGAATAAAATTCTACCCCCTGCCGAGTGTATCTTGTGCCGGCAGTGTGCCGGCAGACAAGGCCGAAAACAAACTCTGAAAACGAATAACCCAAGGTGATACTTCCCTTCAAGTATTCGTTTCGTTGAACATTTAATTGCGACTCCCAACCCGAACCGGCGACCCCACACCCTGAAAGTGTCTCAAATGATACGATTAGCGCGCTAACTCAATGCACGCGCCTGGCGGGGGCGGTAATTCAACGATTTTGCCAACATTTCAGTTCGGCGGTCGACCCGCGCGCGCGTGGTCGACGGAGGACCTCTATGACATACTACGGCCGGCGGCCACAAATAATAAATAAATACTTCTATGGGCGCGCCCAGCCCTATGGTTGTTTTCGGCCTTGCCGGCAGATCTACAGGGAGGATTTTTGGTCATCGACAGGCTGATTTTGGCCCGGCTTGGTCCCCTCTCCCGGTCTTTCCCGTCGGCCAGCGACCACGAGGCGCCCACGTCCGCGCCCTCTAGAGCCCCGCAGCCCGTCAATTACGCCCTTAATGCGCCAGAAAGTCGGCGGGCGGTCTAGGTTCAACATCGATGTTGCAGTACAACAAACCCAGGTTGAAGTTCAAAAAACAGCAAAAGCCGGTCTGTGTCGCTAGATTTGCGTACCACCAGTCGCAGCTGCGTCGTAACGACGCTGGGAAGCGAAACATTGCTTTGGATTGACTCGATTCGCGCAAAAAACGGTCATCCATGCACTCTCGACGAGGGCGGTCTCGAGCGGTGAGCGCGTACATGCTTTGCGTCGAGTAGAACGTCGAGGTAGTGGCGATCCATTAAATTGGAGCTAGGTTCTGGACCGAAAGGTGCTGTCCAATGCTTAAAAGCGTCCAATTTGGTGATGCGCGCGCGGACGGACCACACGCCCCGTGCGGGACTCGTTCGTCGTCTCGGGCTGCCTCCAGCGAGTCGGCGCGGCGGACTGCGGTCGCCGCGCGGCGCTCGGGCGGTCGAGCCGTCCTCACCGGTCCGGGACCCGAGCGCGGGCACAATTTGACCGGCGGCGAGCACGATCTTGCGCTGGAACACCGACAGCCTCTCAGGCGCCGATTTCAGCGAGATGCTGCCGACCGCCGATTTCGTCGCTGGAGCGGCCCGATCTCGACACGAACGTCGAATTAGTGGCGATGCCTTAAAACCGAGCTAGATTATGATGCTATTAACAAGTCCTAAACGGGGCTGCCCCATCGTCGACCGGCTTTGAGGCGCGCGCACGCTGTCTTCAACATGTTGTTAACTAGGAATCCTCCCTGTAGCGCAAACATCCGGTGACAGTGGAGCCAGTACAGGGCTGTGGGATGACTTGTTGCTGCTTACAGCAGTGTCATTTGGATTGGACTATAGTATCAAATGAGAGTCCGCCCGGCTACAACTACACTCTCGGCAAATAGCCAGGCGTGCGACTCTAGACTGAACGAATTGCTGGGATTACAAGACATTGATACTTTTCGACGCTGGTTTCTCCATCTAACCCTTGCAAATGAGCACTTCATGGCAAATAACATGCGCCTGGCGATTTCTGAGGTTGTACACGCGCGCCGCAATGCGGTCGCAACTTTGATGGCCCTGCAAACCAGTTCTGTTGTGAGTGGACTATCTGCATTGTGTTGTGCGCATCTTGACTCTTTCGCTGGGTTTCTATTCTTACATGTTGGTAGCATCGGCAGTGCTGAAACTTCTTTTGAATGCGCCCAGAAATGGTTCTGTTTGGCCCACAATTACTTGAAGGAACACTCGTCATCGATGTTTAATTTCAGCATGACTTCGAAATCTGCCATCTCCACTACCTCCTCAACATGGCCATTTTCCCTTCCGTATAACCCCTTCATTCAAGCAGCGTTGGTGGCATTTGCTGGCGGCAGGTGTTGCTTGGCATCCAGATTATTCGATTGGGCATCAAGAGAAGTGTATCGTAACGTGACGTTCGCCTCTCCGGCTCAAGATATTTCGGCCTTAATTCCAGAGTCTGCAGATAGATGCTCAATTGTCGGCGGCCATCAGCTGTCATCAAAATGCACCAATAATCTGGCTGTGTGCGCGCTTAACATGTGCGATCTAGAAGCCGCGGTCTGGTTACTTGAGCAGCTCGTTCGGAGCAATCCACCATTGCATCTAGACCAGCCCGTAGCATTCAATTTGTGCACCATGTACGATTTGTCCACCGATAACACGAAGGCATTATCAAGAAAGCGCCTCTTGCAGCAGGCCGTGACGCGATATCAGCTGCCTGGTCTAGCGGCCTCCACATTTCATGTGTAGTGCTGATCAGCAGGTTGCGGGCCTGGCATGAGTATGGAACCCTCGTCGAAAGGCCAGCAAGCCGACCCCGCGGCCGGCCGTAGCGTGCGGCCATGACTAGACCGAACCCGCCAACGCGACGAGGCCGCGCCTTACTCGAACCGTCGCGCGTGGGCAAGGGCCGGGGAGATAGGACGCTGAGGGCGCCCAGGTATCCCGCCGTCACCCTGCGACGACGAAGGTGGCGCCGCACCAGCCCGCGACGGAGGGTGATCGACAAGGTCGTCCATCTTAGTTTCGTGAGCTCCAAAGGCCGAGCGAGCCGAGACCAGACAAAAAAAAGAAATAGCGGCACGAACTTCATCGAAGGACAGCAGCACTGCAATAGCACTGAGCGAGCAGTTGATCGTTCTACAACGCGAACTAGAACAGAGGACCGCCCGCTTTATCAGCGGCTACTGAAAGGCATGAAGCCTAGAAGTATGAAGTATATGGACATAAATGACAACCCGGCGAAAGACAGACGAGGCAGATCGGCTCAGCATGAGGATCAACTTGCCCATCCTGAAAGACTCGGACGGCAAAGCGGATCCCCAGTCCCAATGCCGCTGGCTCCGCCGGCCCCGCCGGCGCCCGTCGCACTCCCACTGTGCCCCCCTCGCACCCCCTTTGTGTCGACCACCCACCCCGCACCCCGAGGCTGCCCCGAGGCCCCTCCAAATAGGCCGGACGCGACAGCTGTGTCTCGCACCGTGGCTAGAAACCGGGGCTCGACGTAACGGCTTACCTGACCCGTTACTTACGACTTACATTCGGCCAAAACGACTTACCTGAAGGCTTACTTTAGGACTCGACGACTTACCCGGCGGCCTACCTCGGCCCGAGGCCGCGCAGGGCCCGGGACGCCGCTTCGCGGAGCGCGGCAGCAGGCTAAGGGCAGTTTAAGTCAGTCAAACCCAGCCTTTGGATGTTACGGTCGTCGCAGGCCCAACCAGGCCAGAACAGGCGAAATCCGCGAGGTCACTTTACGCGTACGTTAACGCCCCACCGAGGCGCGTAGACGCACCCTAGACCCCCCGGAGGCGTGTGGAAGGCGCGTGCGACGGGTGGTGTACGCCAGTCGTCCTCGCCGGTCGCGGCCGCGCCGTGGTCGCGCATGGTCGTCGGGCCCGCCCGGCCGTAGGGCTGGCCGCTGCCGTAGCCCTTCGGCGCCGGGCCCCTGGGCGACCCCACGGAGGCGTAGTACAGCCTGATGGGGTCCCGCACGACGACGTCGATGAGCTTGGCGGTGCTCGAGCTGCTCCTCGACGAGCACGCCGTAAAGGAGCCGGATGGCCGCCGCCACGGGCCCGTGTTGACGGTTGTGCTACTCGAGCTCGGGACCACACATCATGCCAAGGGCCTCGACCGTTCTGGGCGCGGCGCCACACCCACGAGGCCGCTGCACAGCCGCGCCGCCGACGACCGTGTGCCCAGAGAGACCGTTTCCACGCCCAGAGCGGCCCGTGCAACCGTGTTCGCGGCGTCACACGATGGCCTGCGGATCGGACAGCCACGCGGCAGCTTGCGCGCGTGGCGCAGGCGCAAGACCCAGCGCTTTCGGCCACCGAGGGGCGCCGCAGCGTGTCGAGGCAGCCCGTCGTTGGAAAAAAGATGGCTAAAAATCCATCAAGATGCCGAAGCGACGACAAACTTTGAAGAAAACCTCGCATTTTAGACGCCTGTGTCCACAATCAGCCGCCCTTGTCCACGACCCGGCGCCCGGACACGTCCCCGGGCATTCCGGCACGAAAGGCGGCGGTACCGGGGCCGTACCACAGCTCGTCGACGGTGTATTTTATTTTATTTTTTTAATATTTTCGGCCGCGCGTGCACGCGCGCGCTTCCGCGAGGTCGTCTTACACGGCACCAAGGACGTCGAAAATGAATTCAGAGTCTCCGAAATGTATTTAGGCGTACGGGGTTCGTCCCGATTCGTCGCGGAAAGTGACATCGCGTTTTTTGGCCTGGCTGGGCCCGTGACGACCGGTTAGTACTAGTCCCGACTAACCTACTGTGCGCTTCATTTGCAAAGGATCAACTTAAAACCAACATTCCGGGCCGTTACGGCGACCAACATCACCGGAGAAGCAGCTCCATCCGTTCTCCTGACTCCTCATGAAGCCCTGCGGCCCACACACTGCCTTGTGGCGGCTTCTGGCGGCCACAAATAACTTCCGAATGAGTCAACATAGGGCTGTACACATACTAACCCACGGACGCTGAATTGAATCGCGTTGAAGCGCCGCTGCGCAAGTTATGGGCTGCGATCGGGGCCCCGAGGGCGGGTCTAGAATCGCTTATCCTTCGGAGTAACGGTACAGTGCGTCTCAGCGTCAATGACATCGTGCGCGCGTCGCGTTACTCCGAAGGATCGTCGCGATCTTCACGTCGAACGGGGCAGCCCCTCGGTCGACGGTCGTTTCGTGTGGTTTGTGTACGAATTCGCCCTTCCCGGGTGGAATTGAGATGCTATTTCCGGAGGTCCGCTGCCCTTGATTGTGGGTTCGAATTTCCACGCGCGCGTGACGACGACGGCGGCGGCAGCGGCGGCGGCGGCGGCGGCGGCGGCGGCGACGGCGGCGACGACGGCGGCGACGACGACCGACCAACCCAGCCCTACTGAAGGGAATTGACTGGGGATGGTGATATACGATCCCCGATGCTGCGAGAGGTCGATAGACATCAAAATGGGGTCGAGGGGATCAAACGCGCCCCATCCCAGCCCCCGAAGGACGGTTCGAGTCACCACGCGACCGGCAGCACTTCGCGTCTGCGCATGTGCGTCAGGCGCACACTACCGGAGCACGAAGCTGCTGGGATCGTTGCATAATTCCGCACTATCGCGTGGTTGGGGGCTATAAAGACGCTCGAACCATAGCTTCGTCTTAAAAGGTTCTCGTTCCGTCCGCGGGTTAGTATGAGCTGTATGTTCAACTTGCACTTCAACATGGGATCGGGCAGGGCGCTTCAGCCACTTCTTTGCTCTAGGATTGTTGGAATAGATCAGAAGTGCACGCGGAAGCTTTATTCCAACGGATTTGCACGCGTTTTGTGATCCACTAATCGAATTTTGTTGATCCGTATTACGAAGCGCACCGTGACAGTAGGTTAGTCGGGACCCAAGTAGAAACCATATGCACTAAAAAAAATAAGCCGCACCACCCCGGTCCCCGGGGAAGTGGCGAGCTGGGAGAGAACCACCAGCCGTAAATGCAATTTCTGGCAAAGCCTTACTGAGTGCACCGTCATGATGCGATTCTTAGTAATCATGGTGCCATCGGCAGCCGGGTTAAAGACCGGAGTTTAAATTTACAACCCAAATTTACGCCCCTACAATTGGGGGGGGGGGGGGGGGGGGCTTTAGACCGGAGTTTAGTGTTCACGCGCTTGGAGCACATCTTTGACATGGTAGGCCGCGCTGGTAGGCCGTAGGCCGCAGCCGGCGGCAGAACCTCACCAAGCCGAAGAAGCCCGGGCCCCATTGCGTCGGATGGAACCCCAGGGAACCCACGACGTCCCCGAAAATAATCGGCCGGCGGCTGGAGGCTTTGCTCAGGCGCCGGGGCCGCAGGCGGTCCACGAACCAGAATACGTCGTATCTCCCACATTTGCGCCGCACCCGAGGCACTTAAGCGCGCCCTAGAACGTGCACAAGTCGCGAACTCAGACCCGCAGCTTTCTCATGTCCGCCACTGCCGTGCCTACTCCCCAGTCCTGCGCCCGGGCCCAGCCCTACGGGCTCGGCAATATAGCACACCCGGATGTGCAGTAGCGAGGGCTTGAGTCGCCAAAAGCAAGCATAATGAAGGTAAAAAGATGGGCCTGGATTGCCTGGTCGTAACGTCGCTTTTTTGTTGATCAAGGTTGGCGTGTGGGCCTGGACTGCTTGAATGCGTTCCAGGCGTTTCATGTCGATGGTTTGTCGATGTTTTACCCGATTACCTGTCTAGTTTGTAGTGGCCTCCGATGATGGTTGTGCTGATTTCTCGGAATCCTTGCTCTCTGTAGGGGCTGACGGTAAACCGGGAAGGGACGGGAATGCATCTTCAGCACTGGCAAGATCAGCAGCATTAAAGCCGGTACCTTTGAGTTTGGCCTGGGGGGTTGCGTGCATAGCTGGAACAACGTCTTTGTCATCACGATCGCGCTTCCCGTGTTGCTGCTTTGCCTCTTGAACCTTTTGCTTGTCACGGATCGATGGCATTGCGCCACGTTCCAATTCAGAGAACCACAACTTTTTCTCCGTGAGGCGTTTCACAGCATCGACAACGCCGGAAACAGTCGATGGCGGTTCAAGGCCAAGAAGAGCGAAGATCTCAATCGTTTCGGGGACCAAGAGAATCTTCTCATGAACTTTGAGACCACCCTTTTTCTTACCGCGACCCTTTTTCTTACCCGTGGCCTTGTTCAAGCTCAAGTAATCTTCTTCGTGACCTTTGGCTGCATTCTTGCCTGATAGCACAAGACCCTCGAATTCCCCCGCCGCGGTTGGCTTGTCCGCCTCGGATTTTGGATTTTGGACATCTTTGCAGTATGTGATTTCAAGATAGTTGGCCAGGTAAGAGCAAAGCTCCATCTCTTCCTCAAACGGCACACGCTTAAGTTCCTCCGCTTCGGCTTCTTTTCGCCTCTTCTCGAGTTCGGCGCGGCGGGCTTCATCCTCTGCTTTGCGAGCTTCATTGCGAACACGACGGACTTCACGCTGGTGCGCGCCTAAATGTGCAAGTGCATTAAAAACGTCACTCTGATCAATGCGCCGCAAAAGTCGCGGAATTCATTTTCAAGTACGCGAAAATCTGCCCGCAAGGACTTAATCGCGTCGACTTTAGCTTGTTTATCCTTTCGTAGGGCATCCTTATCTTTGAAGAGTGCCGGCAGCACAGCACGCCGCTCAGAATTAGCCTCGTTCAGTGTCTCAAGTATTTCTTTTTGCTCTTCAATTTTTTTCTTGAGAACATCTAGCTCAGCATTTTTCGAAGTCAGTTGCTCAGATATAGTTTGAGAGTTCTTCCGCTCCGAGGATATTGAATCGTTGTTTGCAGCAAGATGAGTCACCAACTTCTTGGATTGCTTAAGCTGATCTATCTCCTTGAGCAGGACCTTCTCTTCTTTTAGCGACATGGAAGTAGTTGACTGCCTCATCTCAAGCTCTGCGATTCGTTTATCAATCTCGTCAGGTGATGTGTATTTGAGCTCCGCTCGAAGAGATCGACCAGCCTAGTAATGCACGCGTGATCATTCTCGTAGCTTGAAATATGGCCACACTGAAATGACCGTTATTTTCGAATCTAGCGAAGCCTTAGCGGACTTCTGCAGGGCGGCTATCTCAGCACGATCACGCATTATGGTGTCTTTCCTTTCACGTAATGATTTCATAGTTGTGCGTGCCTCACGAAGCTCTTCTGACTGATCACCGCCCGAACTCTTGGCTTCCGCGATCTTTGCATCAACCTCCGAGAGTCGCTCATTGAAATCCTGCACTTCGTCATTCAGGGCCACAATCTTTGCGTCGAACTCACTCTTGTTAGGACCTATGCTCGGGGTAATGTGTGTTCCGTCGTGCGTAGACGCCACGGCATGCGAGCTATTGGTTTGGATATTGCCGCATCGGGGGATGCAGCGTCGGCGCTATGGACATCGATTTCCCTGCTGGGGTTCGACTCCTCTGCCATAGATGAGCGATTTTGAGCGAGCAAAGACAGTGAGACCCCTTGAAGATCGGTGAATATAAATATATCCAATTTCGCGAAGTCACACCGCTGTGAAGTTAAATCATGCGACTCAGGAGGAAGATTCTCCTGTATCTGCCCCACTGTGCTTATTCTCCCTTTTCTCCCTACCTTGCAGTCTCATATCTTCATGAGACTGAGGTCCCCACTTTAGTATGGGGGTCCTTCCTCCTTTTCCCAATTTCCTTCCCTTTCTCTCTTTCTATTCCACTTTAAGACAGTATAGAGTAACCCTCTCCTGTTGGGAATCAGGGCTGCTCAGCAGCCCCATCTCACTTTTCCATTTTCAGTCTAAGTCAGGAACACTGCCATTTCCCCTCAAGGGTTATGGGCCCACAGCGTTAATCCTGACCCAAGACTCTTTACCTTCGTTACATGGTAGATTAGCTAATTACGGCGGAACTTTGGAAAATTCGCTTAACAGGCTAACACTTTAAGGATCTCTTCTCGTAACAGAAATATGGGGGATGCAGATCAAGGGGGTAGACGTAACCCTGCACGTGCCGCAAGGGCTCCTCGACCGCAAGAACCCGAAGGAGATGAACCACCCGAAGACCAACCAGGTGAAACACCGAGCTATGAGGGACTGGCCTAATGCCGATCTATGCCATATACTGGCCTTCTACCTCACTGCAGAGGACAAGATTAAGATATTTTCTCCACGGAATGTATCCCACCACTTGAACATGGAAGATCTGTTACAGGAAACTATCGATCAAATAGGCAAACATGTCACTGAAGCGGCATGGGAACGCGCAAACGGAGATAAATCCACTTTCATGCACAAGATGATTAAGGCAGCGGAAGGCCTTGGTCAATGGTTCAACAATTCAGTGGACAAGAAGTCACCAGAGTCGATGCGAAACTTCTCACTTTTCCATTTTCAGTCTAAGTCAGGAACACTGCCATTTCCCCTCAAGTGCGATTTCCTGACCGGAACCGGCGACTGCGCGCAAAAAGTCATCGAAAATGTGAATACCATCGACCCTGCTTTGATACGGCCATAACCCAAAGTTGGCCATGATTTCAGCCCGCGGACCCCCGCGACACCTCGCCCGCGTGCGGGGTCGATGGTAGAGGCCAGCTAGGGATATTTACTCCGCAATGCTGAGTCTGCCTTGTGCTGGCTATGCTATGCTGTGTTGAGTAATAGCATACTCGGATTCTAACAGCCAGTCATGTCGGCTTTACTGGGGCAAACGCGGCGCTTTGGTCTAAACGTCCCAGTCGTTCGATGGGGAGGCCTTGATATTGGCCGTTTCGCTGATGGTGGAAATTGCCGTTGCGGCTGGCGTTCGCACATCGACGAAGATCTAGGTCGAGCGAGTGTGTTTCACCGCCTCTGGTTGCAGAGGCACGATGCTGGACACTTGCCAGAAAGCGAGTTGTTCGCTCATCACCCTTAGCCCACTCTGGGTAATTTAGCGTAAAGTTCAAAAAGCTCTTCTCCAGTTTGCCACCTTCGGTTGGCTTTACTCCTTCAATGGGCGAACCATACTTGACGTTACCATAAGTGTCAAAGTCAAAAAGGGAGTGACCAAGGACTGATCCAAGTCCGTCGACATCCACGGTATTGTCGCGCACAAATTGCAGGATGCTGGATGCAGATGAAGACAAGGAGAAGCAAAGGATGAGAGGTGCAAAAAAAACTGACATTACTTCGTCGAAAAACAGCCATGCTTTGTACTGGAATGCTCGCGAGAAGGCATCGTGAACATCTTGAGTGTGTGCTTTGCCACGCCACTCTGCGGGGAAGCAGTGTGTGTGATCCGCAATATGTTGCATGATGCATTCTGCAGTATCGTGCTTATTTGAACTGTTCCGGTAACTTTCCTTGGAAGCTTCGTCTATTTCATTTACACGAGGAGCAGCTAGAAGGCAGCTATATGATTCTCCATCGTCATTAGACGGAACAAATGCACGAGCAATTGCAAATGCAGCAGAGGCAACTCCTGCATACCAAATGAGGTTTCGGTCACCTAGCTTTATGTAAAGGAGGATTGAGTCACCGCCATCCAGAGCGGCGGCAAGGGCGAGGAGGACTGCAACAAGTGCGCCGCTAACGAAAGCGACGCAGCGCGCTAGCGTAGCGACCACAGGGCGCGGGAATAGGCTAACGTATGCATTAGCCGGTTTGCGACTTGCAGCAAGTCGTGTTTCGAAGACGTGGGGCAGCTCGTTCAGCTCCCGGAAGGACCATTGCGCAACAGGTGACCATTCACGCGGACCGAGATAATGCTTCTTGTCGTGCCACTCTTGCGCGTGAAGGAGGAAGAAGTGCATGGTCATGAATACCGCGACAAACGGCACGAGTGCCACGTGGACCAGTCCTGCCCTGACAAAGCGGCGCCTCAATGCCATTTCGTTTTCCAAAAAGGCCCGACGCACGACAAAACGTCGTGAAAATATGTGATCCAAGAGGCACGAGTGAATTGACCACTCGAGAGTCTTCGTCAGTCGAGCCCGTGCTGCGATTGTGTCTAGTGACGAAACGCGACCTGTGAACAATGTTGGCAGAGGTAGCGTCAAATCGAGGGTATTTGCATTGAGCATTGCCTGGATGTTATCGCAGATTAATCATCAAATTTGAGGTATGAGACTCGGTGGCACCGTGTGATACAATAAGATAATTCTCTTTCCGCATAATGCGACACGCAATATCATGCGCCGTGATCATGGTGCTCTTATTCAAGCTACCAGTTCCTGGCGTGCTCCCGTGCGGAAGCATCTCTATGTCCCCAAAATTCAGGCTTCTACCAGCCGCACCGCCAGCAGTCTGGAAGGCTTTCCAAGGTGCGCGGCCTCGCTTTTGCAAATCTCCAAGCTGTAGCACAACTTCATTCCACCTGAGAGTTCGAAGCTCTCGGCTGGAGATCTCAAGTTCCAGTTCATAGAAACGCCCGATTTCCCATGCCTCTCGGAGCGAAAACCATGTCGCCCCGCAGCTCCAGAGCCAATATGATCCGAACACTCCAACATATGCGAGCGTCAACATGTCGAGCCCATATCTTGCAGGGTCCGCCAAAAATGATCTCCGAACATAATTTACTAGCAAGCTACATGAGTCCTCGTCCCTGCACTGACATAGGGCTGCCCAGTCGACAAAGGCAAATAAGAACCTAAGAATGTTGCCTCCTTGACAGTATCGCGTAGTTTGAGGGTGACAAACGTGGAGAAAATGATCGTGAACGCGAGTGTGAAAACATGGACTATGCCGGATACGAGCACAGTTGCAAAACCCTTATGGTGCCAGTATCGATAAACGTTCGTAAACCAGACGTCCAAATCTTCCACGAAGACAATATCACTTTCCTCCTGTAGTAGACCGAATTCCATTAGGGAATCGTCGCTGCTATTTGGGCCGGTCGCGAAATTATACCGTGAATGAACGGTTTGAGCGGCCCAAGATTGAGCGGACCGTATAAAATAAACTGCGAGCTATCCAATCGTGAACGGTCGGACCAATAGCAGCGTCGGCCCGATTCACGCGAGATACTTCGATATCACAGTCCGCCACTCAACCGGTGACCGTGACTATAGCAGGGTTAGAAAGTATCAAGGAAGGGAAGGAAGTCCGATGGCGGCTCCGTACCAGCGGGCCGCTAGGTCAGTGGGGTTCTCCCTATCCCCCTGAGCTGACCACCGAAACCCCGGCTTAGGGGCCGAGATCTAGATCGCGATCTCAAGTTGCACGAGAGTTATAAATTTAAAAATCTTAGAACGCTATTAACGCCATGTATGGCATCATGCATCCCGACTCTCGGAGTGTTCCCCCGCTACCGCCTCTGCGGGCGCGCATACCAACCCTTGGTGCACCTTCTGCTCGCGCGCCCGCCGTAGAAGAAATGCACTACAATCAGAGGCCTCGAGGGGCGGTGTACGCATCTCCGCGGGTAAGCTCACCGCGTGCTGGGGGGCGCGAAGGAGTTGACGCGTCTTATCGCGGGTCAAGTTCTCAGCCGTCTAACAGCGATGAGAATATGAACCCTTTGCAAAGCTTTGATTCTGAGGATCCAAAAGTGGTAGTCACCTTGCGCGCTCGGATGCGAGATCTCATGCGTAGCGGGGTGGCCCTACGTCACGATGTAGATGAGATGCAAAGGCGCGAACATGAGTTGCGCACGCGCGCGCACGTGGCTTGGGCTGAGCAACGAGAACGTGTTGAGGCGACAAGACAGGAATGTGGGGCTGCGCTGACTGACCTTCGCCAGGAGCTGCGTAGCCGCTTCGAGATGGCAGAGCGAAAGCAGTTAGATCTTTTACGCGAGGATAGGTACCAACTCAAGTGTCTTAATCCAAATTTAGACTGAGCTTAGTCGTGTAACTCTCAGCGGTTCCGCAGGTCAGAACAGGAGCGGATGCAGGCCGAGGTCGGCGAAATTCGTGGGACTGTGGCCGCCCTGCGCCAGGAGGCGCTCCGAGCCGAACAAATAGCACACCGGCGCGCTACTGAGGCATTCAATCAAGTTTCCGAGGCTGCCGAAGACGCTAAGCGGACAGCATGGAATGCATCGCACGAGGTGCACGAGCGGGTCGAAGCTGCAATCAAGACTGTCGAGACAATCTCTCGAGAAGTTGAGCAAGTACAACGTGTTCAGGGGGGATTCAACCTGAGGATCGACGCCGAGCTCAAGGCTGGCCGCTTAGCGGTCGCACGCGCAACAGCCGCTGCGGGGCATGCAGACGCAGTCTCATCCGAGCCTGATATTGAGGTTTTGTATTTTTGGAGTTCGTTCCCCGGAATAATAGTCTATGTATGACAACAAATGGCGAGTTTTCAGCGGAATATGAATAATATAGGTCGCCGGAACGGCAGAGCATGACGTCACAGCACGATTTCAGAGTGAGCTTGCTGCACTTGAATATCGTGTTACAGCAGATGTCGCCGCAACACGGGCGACCCTTCGAGATGAGGCGCTGCGGCGAGAACGGTCTACTAGCGACCAGGAAGCATCGTGGCGGCGCAGTGCCGACGCCACTGAGGCGCGCTTGCGATCTTGCGAGGAGAAACTTGCTACTTGCATCGCGGCAACTAGGAGGCGGGAAGTCCTCAAGATCAAGACTCCAACAACCAGTTCGGAACCAGAGACGGGGGAACTTGGTTTGCGAGCCACTGCCTTTGCGGAGCTAGAAGGAGCACTCGAGCGCCGAGTCACACAAGGTCTCCAGGGGGTAGCATCGGGCATGGCGGCAGCCATCGAACGCCTCGCATCAAGTTTGAGCGAAGCACGTGCCGAGATTTCTCGCGAAGGCGACGCACGACGCACACTAGAAGCATCTGTAACTCATGCTGTTGAATCGGCGGTTTTTTGCGTCGCAAATGCGACGCGTGTTGAGATCGCCAAGCATACCGACGACGCATCGAGGCTCGAGGCTCAGATGCGTCGTGCTGATGCGCTCCATGGCGATCATGTCCAAGGTCGATGTGAACGTGTCGAAGAGGCATTGATATGTCGCGTGGCTGAGCGAGAGCGCGGACTACGCCTCGTGCGGACAGAGATTTCTCAGGCGACACATGTGCTGCTCGATGAACTTGCTCAAGAGCGCCATGCTCGCATTAGAGCAGCCGCAGTCGAAGCAGCCAACGCGAAACGTGCGCTCGCTGTATCGAGCCTAATGACTGACTCAAGACGACTGGCTGATAATGCTGAAACCCTTTCTACCATCAAGACCAGCATACGTGAACTCGACCATGCCTACCAGCTCCGTTTCGGTCAGGCCGCGAGCAGTGTTGACGCTCTCGCCGCAGTGACAAGCGCCCAGCTTAGCTGTGTAGAACGACTTGATCACCAGCGCTCTTCTCGCATGAGCGCACGGATGAGTGCCACCGAACAGGCTTTCCAAGAGATGGAGGACGACTTATTAGTCAGCACCACTGTGGAGCATATTGTTTCGACGGTCGTTGATGCGCATCATGCAGCAGCAATTGACCGTGAGGCAGCAGCACGTGCGGCACAGGCTGCGCATGCAAATTTGACTGTGCACTTGCTCTTCGACAAAATGGATACCGCACTTTCTGCTGGACAGCTGGTTGCTTCGGAAGATCGCAAACTTGCTTCATCGAGATATAATGAGCAGACAAAGACTCTGAGCTCCGTTGTGGAACAGATTGCGGTCCTGACGGAGAGCCTCCAGGACTCGGCCAGCAGAAGTCGAGAGCGGGCATTAACTACAGACAACACGATCAACGCTGTCGCCCGTGTCCTAAATCGCAGCCTTTGGGTTAAGTCCAGTATCGTGCATGCGGGAGTAGATGTCTCGAGCTACCTTTGCGCGTAGAAGTTTCATCAAATTCTGAAATTGAATGTAATCTTTTCTTCCCCAAGAATATCGGTCACGAACCTCGAATTGCTAGGTCTTAGCCATTCGGAACGAGGCTCGCGCGGCCGTCCAGAATCTCGTAGATACTGTCGTCGATCGTCACGCCGAGGATGTTGCTCTGAGCTTAGCCGGGCAACACGCCGCTTTTGCTTCAAAGTTAGATGCAATGGCCGCGCTCGAGCGTAAGCGCAACGAAATCGTAGAGACACGGTTAGTCTACGCAGAAAATGCATTAGCAAAGGCAGTGGGTGACTGGGGTGCTGCTATCCAGGTTGCTTCCGATTCTATTGCTATACGAACAAGCGCACCTAGAAAAACGCCAGCGGCCAACGCCCACGTTCGCATGGTCTTCCCGCCAATACATCGCCCTGACCAAGGCTGAGAGTAAAACAAACGGTATTGGGAGCTTCAAGTACGGGCCGCCTTACGTGCGCCGCGCGCGCACGCCCCCGGGCATGGGAAACACAACGGAACTCAATTCGCGACTTGCCCCCCCGCGGCGCACGCGCACGCCCCCGGGCGTGGGAAACAACGGAACTCGGTTCGCGACTTGCCCCCCCGCGGCGCACGCGCACGCCCCCGGGCATGGGAAACAACGGAACTCGGTTCGCGACTTGCCCCCCCCCCCCTCGAAGGTGCGCTTTAGTGCCACATGCCCGGCGCTCTCTCTGCAGTGTCGGGTTCGGATCGCCATAGGAAGCCGCTGGGGTGCATCTCGGGTAATTGATTTGCCGGTGGTAGTCGGGCCCTCTCGAGGGACTTGAGGCCCGGCTCTGAGGAGGGTCCTCCAGTAGTGTGGCTTCCGTAGAAACCACCCGCAGTGACGCGTTCTAAGACGAGTCCAACGCGTTGGATGGGAATCCGATGTCCAATCCGACCACTCGATGATCGCGTTCCGCGCGGCGGCCGCGCGTCGCTCCGCGGCCGCGTTCACGCGCGAATAAAACCCCGAAAACTGCACCTCCGGGGACGACCGGACAACCGAGCGACGACGCTCGCCGGCGTCCGTCGGCGGGGTGTCGGTGGCCATTTAAGTGGGAATAACCCCGGGTCGATAGCCGGAGAACACCACAGAGCACCATCGAAAGTCAACATCTCGTCAAGATGCCGACACTGTGGCACGATGCCATTTAGTGCACGCGATGATACGACCCAGGACCGCGGGAGCGAGGAGGCGGCGCGGGACACGGCGCGGCCGCGGACCGAGGACCTCGGGGACGGCGTTGCCTGACGGAGGCCGAGGCGTCCTCGCGGTCAAAACCAGGGCTCCAGGTCTCGCTCGTATTCTCACGCTCAAAGGTTGCGACGCAGGAGCCGTGCCGGTAGAGCCGGCCCCAGACGGAGCGCCAGAGGCGGTCGAACTCGGTCGGTCCCGGAGTGCCCCATAGCCTCTCCCGGACGCGCAAAGTGACCAGCTCCCGCCAGCACGGGATCGGCACGCCGCCGTGCCCGTGCATCAGGAATTCCGGGGCCTCGTAAGCCGGAGCTGCAGCCCAGAGAGGCCGCGGCCGCCAGACCTCCCAGGTGTAGATGGCCTCCTCGTCGTCGGGGTCGGGCTCGGGCGCGTTGATGCCGCCCCGAGGAAGGTCAGGGACAACGCCGGCGCGCCCTGGCCACGGCTCGGCCGCCGAGTGGCATGCCTCGTGCCGAAAGGCCGGGAGCTCGGGAGGCGGCGGTGGCGGCTCAGCAAGCAGCCACCATGAGAAAACGCTGAGCTCGATGCCCAGAGCAGAAGACGCCGTGCGCAAGGGGGCGCAGCGTCGAGATGAAAGAAAGATGATAGTAGCCTGAGTAGAATAGTGGTAGAGTAGCGTACTGTACCGCATCCGCGTATCCTCGTACAAAAGATACAAGTGAGCAACTAAGCTGGCATATATCCACTCTATATATCCACTGCACTGTGAACCTCAAGCTAGTAAGAGAAGTATACCTTGAAGGGACAATTCCCGCTACAAGAGACAGACAGCAAGGTCAGTCTTTGTTCTTTGCATATCCTGTTGGGAATCAGGGCTGCTTAGCGGCCCCATCTCACTTTTCCACTTCCCGTCTAGGTCAGGAACACTGCCATTTCCCCTCAAGAGGAGTTTACCTTGCTTCAGGCAGATTCAGGCTAGTTGGGAGATACGAAAGGCCAAGTGGACGGAAACTTGGTCCGCCGATACAATTTGGGCCGACCGTACACGGATGGCTCGCAGTTAGTCTTATATACGGTCCGCTCAATCTTGGTCTGCTCAAACCGTTCATTCACAGTATAATTTCGCGACCGGACCAAGACTGAGCGGTGGTTCCCTAGTGTGGAGGAAAATACTTCTGAATAATTCATTATTCGATGTTGTACTCTGCGTTGCTACAGCATGCTTTATCGTGGTGTCTTTTATCGAGCTGTCTGGCATCCGAGGTGATTGACTGGTTGCGGTCTATGGGAGGGACCGCTCAAGGGCTGCAGTTGGCGGACTTCGCGGATATGGGTCGGGGTTTGAGATGCGGGGAACGTGTTTTGGCTGAATCTGTCGTTCTAGATGTACCACAAGAGCTTTTTTTTAGCGGAGATAGCGGTAACGCACTGGCTTCATCATTTGGGGCGGATATCCTGCTAAGTGACAGCGAGGCGATTGCGTTCCAATTGTTGGTAGAGCGCGCAAAAGGTCAACAGAGTACATGGGCTCCATACCTCGACATTTTACCAAGGTCTGCCGTGTTGACACCCAAGGCGTTCAGTAAGTCAGGCTTCGAAGCTCTGCAAGATAGCCTGTTCGTAGAAACAAATCTACAGTCTCACGGACTGACAGGTGTATCTGCTCCAGGGGTCCGCGGGAGCCTCAACCTTGCCGTCCGAAAAGCCTGTGGGGCATCAGAAGTTTCCAATCTCGGGGCATGCATCGAGGCACATACTTCCAGTAAAGCATGGGCATGGGCTCTTTCTATCATCGACTCGCGCGCACTTACATTTAAAGGTGCACGCCACTTGATCCCAGTTGCAGATCTCGTGAACTACAAACCTCACCCACATGCCTCAACTCGACGATTTGCTTCTGGCGATTTTTTCCTCCAGCACCATAAATTGACGCCCACTAGTATTAAGACGCTCAGTGACCGTACGTGTGAGCTGGGGGCGCAGTTTTTTGAGGATTATGGTGACAATCCCACGACAATTTATGTTGAGCACCACGGTCTACTAAGCGGCGTAGAGTTGTGTCTTATGCAAGTATCATCCAATGTTCATACAAATAGCAAAGCAAATTATGAATCTGCGTAGGGTTCGTACCCAAGGAGGTGAACCCATTTGATTGTGTGCCCGTTTCTCTCCCGGCACTCAATCATGACTCAAATGAGCATGCGAATCGGTAAATGCGCATATGATGTATTTTATCACCATCTACATCTTTCATAGGCGAATCGATATGCTCAAAGCTCTTGGCGTGCGTAGCATGCCACCCTCATGCTTCAAAGCATCGCTCGACGAGATCGATCCAAACCTGCGGTATTTCTTGTGGGTCATCGACATGGATATGGAACAAATGGAAGCTTGCATTGCATCAATTGAGACTAGCTGCCAACAGCGCCTCGCGATTGATGCTCGAATCAACCCAGTGACGTAGGCCAACCTTCGCCAGACTGCGAGTATGCATTCACACCGCCACCACATGATGCCCCGGCGCTAGTCTCCAGTTTGTTGGATGTCGTCTCAAATCACCCCCTAACTCAAACGACGAGCATGGAGGATGATACACGCACGCTATCAAATGGTGGTTTGAGCAGAGATGTGTCTCTTGCTGTGCAGTTCCGTCGTTCTCGCAAGGCGCTTCTTAGCCAGCTTGTGTATGAAGCCGAAGGGGTGCTCGATGCAAATTCGAAGCCCAACTACCAGTCGAGCATGCCAAAAGAGGTATCCGTAGCTGCAACTTGGAATCTTGTTCTTTCGCAGAATGGGACCCTCCTGCACCCGCTCGGGTTGCGAGTCCAGGCCTTCAACAGCTGGGCGAAGTCGATGAACTGGCCACAGCTTCACATTCAGGCAGCGGTACTTTCATCTCACGGTGGTCGCGTTGGCACGATAGCCACCAAAGCTTTATACAAGCGTGACGTCTACATTGAGATTCCCGAAAGCAGTCAGCTTTAGCGTAATATTTTGTTTTGTTTCTGACTCATTACATTTGCCTATCAGAATGAGGCATACTTTCCATCCAGGTTGTCTCGGGATCAAGGCAGCTCGACGCGCGCTTGGCGCAGCTGCATTATATATGGACGACTTCCAGGCGCTCATCTTCCTCCTATTGAAGAACGTACTCGCAAATGTCGGGAATGACCCCGGGACCGCAGATGCAAATGAAAACATATTTGCCCCCTACCTTGCAAATGTCTGTGTGGTAGGAAACATTAATTTGGTTTCTCTTTTTCAGTTACACGAATAGACTGTAGATGTTTCACTTGAATCCCCCAGGCACTGCTGCCGGGTGTGGACCAAGTAGTGACAGCAGCGCTTGGTCTTAAGCCGAACAAGAAGGTAGACACATCCCTACTGCCCCCCTTACTTTGGGCAGAAACGGCAGAAGAAGCGCGTGCTCTTGCAATCGCAAGGCTCCAAGGCTCTGCACTCTCGGAGTCAGTGCCGGACTATGCGCGCCTGACAGCGTATAGAATGTTCTCTCTTACTTGATCTAATAATCCTGTGCAGGTTGCTTCGACCCGTCGATCTTACGAGGCAGTAATTGAGCGTGTGGGGATGGAGTCCCTTTCCAAGGTGATCCCTCGCGCAGAAATAGCTCTGAGTTGGTTTGCCTTCCGCTGGGCAGCTCAAACTCTGGATAGTCGCGCAATTTGGTGGAATGGACAGCGGCACTTGGTCCCCATGCTTGATCTCGTCAATGCAGCGGATGCCAGCGAGATGCCAAGGACCGCGACAGTTCACAAGACCTCTGCGAGTCTGCACCGTGCTGAGCCAACTGCTGTCACGCCCGCAGCCTGGAAATTTGAATCGGGGGATCAGCTTCTCGAAGATTATGGCCAACCAAATCATGTTCTTTTTCTGCCTCAACCAGCGCGCACTGGCGGGCAATACTCATCTACACTGGTGCTAATAGTGCACATGTTGATAGGTACCACGGTTTTGCGCTGGAATCAAACGATCATGACTGTGTGCGCATCGACCTGCATTTGGATCATGTTCCAGGTACGTCTGAGCTCTTAATTAACGGCTCGCCAGAATTCGACGTGATAAAACAGCGGCTCATATCCTTCGGCTTTCGGAGACTTGATTACACAGCCTGTGTCACGGCTAGCTCCCGCCAGCTTACTAGGGTGTACCAATTCATTGCTATCAAATATGGTCTACCTCATGTCATCCCCAACGTGGACACTGAAACTTACCTCGCTCTCTTGGGTGAAGTGGAAGACAGACTCGTGAGTTATGACTTGAAGACAAAGAGGAGCGGATTTCCCGAGATGCTCCTGAATGGCGAACTGCGCAACCTAAGGGCTCTCAGAAGCGACCTCACCGAATTAGCTTCTCAGAGCTGCTTTATCCCGCTTGTTCGTTGACTCCTTCCATACAAACCCAGCTTTGGCATGGTATGGCAGGCCATAGCTGGACGATTGTACTCTCAGGGCAAGAGCTTGCCATGTCTCCACAAAGCAAATAGGACCCCCATTGGATTAGTTGGCCCTGTGCGGATTGTCTTCTCACAGGATCGTCTTTTGCAAGCTGCCAAATTGGCTTCGAGCATTTTCCACAAGGTCAAGCGTCCAGCTGGAATATGTATCCTGGCTCGGCATGATTGTGCATCCGCTCTCTTACGTGGGGATTTCGGCTTGGTAATGGCTGGCACTAGCCTAAGGGTGCCATCCGGTTAATCAACCTACTTGGGTACCTTGCGCCCCCCCTCCTTCGCCGCAGCAAAGCGCGGCAAGTACGCCTGCCGCCGGCGATATCGCTCGGTGCCACCGGGGCGGCTTCGCCGCACCCTAAGCTAAGCGCTGCTCATCAGGGCGCACAGGGACAGCCGTCCCACGGGTCGTAACCGGAAGTGCCATTGTACTTGCCCAGGGAGGGTAGCCTACAGAGATTGAAGGTCCCACTTGGGGCAGCGATGGACCGACGATTTCCAGCGATAGTCGATGGCGGTGGTCTGCAATGTAGCTGGGCTGGGACCAAGTTATGTCATCAGGCGAGTTGGTCATACACATACCTGGGTCTAAAACTGACATTTATGACGATGGCTACAAGCTTAACATCAAATTGCGCGCGGGCGATACTCCCTCGGGCATAGGCCCTTTACTCCTACTCAGGCGGCTTTACTCCCTAAACCCGGCACGCTTGGGGGCCAATGCTTCTCCTTGGCATGCGGAAGGGTCCTGGAGCGGAATACGGTCCATGCGGCACTCAGGTCGGCAGCAGTGGCTTTAGGATTGGACCTTGCTGACCACGTCAGAAGGAGGCTACTCTAGGTAGACTCGGGCAGGGTACCGCACAGACAAACTGTCAGCGAGGTTTCTTCTGTCTCTGTCGTGCTTGTCTGGACCTGCGGGACTGTCCCGACTCTAGATATAGCTGGCGTAACTAGGCTGGCTGACTGTCTTGACTCTATAAAGCCCGGGATCTTTTCGTCTTGCCGCAAGTCAACTCCGGCGAGGTGAAACAGGAGTCGCAGAGGCCACTGCACGAAGCAACGAGACAAGATCTGCATGGGCAAGTTGCTGATCACACATGGTGGACTCTTTTTCAGATGTCATATTTTCCTCGAGAGCAGCCAGGGCCATTTGGGCCTCATGGCGTGCGTATGCATCATTAGCACCAGCAAGCGCCACAAGTGCGTCAACGCCACCAGCCAAATACCTATCCGCGGAAGCGATGAAAACGAATATTTTGAATGAAATGGGCGCTCGCAACTTACACGTGCTCATGCGAATCCACTAGCGAGCACATGTTCACAAGCGCGGCGGCGCCAAGCCGGCGTATCCTCGCACTCTCACTTCCCAGGCTGCTGTCGCCAGCAGCATTTACGAGACTCGCGCATGCGCTGGCTTTATCACCAGCGAAGGCAACGCGCTTTGCACCACGATCAGTCGCCGTGAGGCTGGATAAGCATCTAAGTGCAGGTTCGCGTACTGCTAGTGGCTTATCGGCCCCTGATAGAGACACCAGATTTTTCAATGCCCCTGTAGCGGTTTCAACCAAGATCCTATTCGAGTCGTGAAAATAGACCGCATTTGCAACAAGACATACAGCAAATGCACATTCTAGTAATGAGCAAGCATTTTGGCCCAATCTTGTGCTTATTGTTTGACAACTAATTGCGCAATTCGTCAGGAGGCCAAGAAGAAATTGTCCGCAACGGTCTTGATTTGCACTATTGCACCATACGAGATTGGAGAGTGCCCAAAGTGCAGTTGCTCGTTCTGCACTGTTTTGATGCTCACTCGAGACAGACCACAGGGCTTCAACCGCTCCAAGATGACCAAGCTCATTCCGTAAATGTGAGTTACAAGCCAAGTTTCCTAGCAAGAGAGAGGCTGCACGCCTTGCTGTAGAGAGAGGTGCTGCACACAACATCACAAGGCGGCGAGCAAATGACCGAGGCAGCAAAACATGCAGACACGTGTGATGTGGTGATGCTGATAATGTTGCGTTCTCTACGCCATGCACAATCTCTATATGATTTGTGCCTACCAGCGCAAATGTATTTGCAAGAGCATTTGCTGCGTTTGCCTGTATCAACGTTGCTTGATCGGCGTCAAGTAAGTCAATGGAGTGGCTGGAACTTAGAATCTGAAAGAGCACTTCTAGGCCTCCCACTTCGATCAGCTTTTCGACATTTGGAGAGTGCAGGGGAAGTAAATTTGCAAGTGCACACGCGGCAGCCTCAATAATGTCACTGTTAGATGCACGAGAATCTCCTGGTAGAAACATACTTGACGAGCGTAAGATTTCCACAAGATCCTGAACCAATCCTGCGGCACCGAACGCCTCCTGGTTGCGTTGTTGTTGAAACGCCAAATTTGCTGCTGCCTACATGACACAGCGGTAAACGCGCAAAAGCGATAATCTCACTCTGGATTGCATGCATCACAGGCTAGAGCAACTACTTCTGGATTTGCGTGGCGGACAAGGCCGACGAGAGTAATTATCAACCCATCGACTTGTCCAAGCACGCCGGCGTTTTTTGCATCAAATGACACTCCCGCAAGGCCGCACGCGGCTGCAAGCACGCAATCATAATCGCGATCATGAGAAAACACCAAGAGAGTTTTGATTATTGGCGACACTGTTTTCGAGGGTTTTTCCCCGATCGGAGATTCATCGGGCATCAAGAGCCAAGCTGCGCTGGTTCTTACTAGATGTTGGATATTTGCGTAATTTGGTCCTTCAGATGTCCTTCTGCGGCGCAATGCCCATTGCCTGCGGGCTACGGCAACATCACGGGGATTCTCCGCATGAGAAACGACATCATCCACTCTTCCTACCAGCGGGTCACCATGTGAGGTTGCTGCGGAATGTGTGTTTGTAACAACTGCCTCTAGCTCTCTGCCAGACTGCGCGAGTTGGATACATGCTTTTGCACGAGACACAGCCACATCAACCCAAAGCCGCCACTGCTCGCGGATGTCAGCCCCAAACGAACGACAGTCAGCATGCCCATTCCACGCCAATGAAGCAAGGGCCTTTGCGGCGAGACGACGGAGCTCGCGTCGTGGAGAGCGGCACATCGCAGCTAGGACAAGTGCTGCTCCATTGGCACCTGCATGATTCTAATTTGATCAAATCGGATAGTTGGCACGGCTATTTTTTACGCAATGCATTATTAAAGGTTCGGTGCGCGCCAGACATTGTGGCAAGTCGCTGGGCAAAAAATAGAAAAAGGGACGAAACGTCGATTCCAAGCGTATGTGCGGCTGTTGTTTGTCGCCAGACATCGAGGCGCAATGCTCGCTGAGCTTGCATGTCGAGTGTCTTCTGCTGGTCTAGTAAAGCTTCGCGGTGGACTAGCGCTGTTCTTGCACGAGAAAAGCTTGCGAGCATAGTATGAACCCAAAGCTCCAGGCGGGCCGAGTGTGCTCGCTCATAATATATTTCGTCGCGGGAGCGTGCACGCAGCTCGGCAAGTAATTTTGTCATTTTCAAAATTGCGAGGTCTCGTACTCTCCGCCGTGCCTCCTCAACACCGAGGCTATGCCTTAAAGCTTCAGAAAGTGCCTCATGCAATTCAATTTTGCACTTGCATGATGTGAGTCCATCTCGAAATTTTGTCTCGGCTACGTCTCGCCTAAGATCAGGTCTAGAAAACTACTTCAAATAATTTGTCATGCGCCGATGCAGGACTCGCGTGCTTCCCGAAGAGCGTCACGCCTTGACAATAATCTCTCGCTAGTCGCGCTCGCTTGCGCTGTTTTTGCCAACTGCTTTGCAGCCTCCGTAGCTTGAATGCCAGCATTAAGGGCTGCGTTTTGAATTCGCCTGCGTGATGCTCGTTCGTTTAGAAGCTGATGGTGCAGTTCAGCAATAGCGTAGCAACCACGACGATGGACATGCAATCGAGCATTGGCTGTAGATTCGATGCGCGAGATGGCATTGCTCTGCCTTTGTTGTATCTCTACACGTGAAAAAGTTGATGCCACCCGGCCGGACAAAGGCAGTGGATCATGCCGCAATCTTACCATCTCATCTGATGGAGAAACATGATGTCTGTTGCAATCGACTGGTTCAGTATGGGATAGTGCTCTTGCTGAGTGTAGCCCATATCCTCGGTGTGAACGAACGGATGCTGATATACTTTCTATTCGCTGCCTTTGCTCGCGCTTTCGAGCGATGCGCCTAGAGTTCTCAAGCAAGGCGAGCTGTGCGTAGGCTGCTGCCACGCGTGTTTCGGATGATTTGACGAGAGTATTGCAGTTGTCAATGAAGTTATGGTGGGCGTTATTCTCAATCGCGGCCGCCACGATGACCCTGGCAGCATCTTGACCAAGAATAGCCTACACAGCAAGGACGAATAAGTCCTTGGCAATACTCATCTTAAATCTTTAGTCAAACACAGTCTGGTGGCATGATCACACTCCGCTCGAGCATTTGCAATTGCAATTAGAAGAGCCCGCCGCTCTAGGCTATTTTCCTTGTCGCCCAGTAGCCTCCTTATTTCTATTTGAAAACAAAGCAGCTCTTCCGCATGAAGAAGCTTCCTTTGTCGTCCTATTTCGCGAAATTGTTCTCGCAAACGGACAATAGAAAGTTCCGCCATATGCATCATGTTAGTAAGGGAGATGGATTCGTGAGCTTGGCAATTTAAGTCCGCTTGGCGGTGTTCCGCAAACGCCTTGCGCAAAGCGTGTTGCAGTCGCACGAGCTCTCGCGCTTGGCGAGCGCGTTCCACAACTTGCATCGCACGCATAGACACGGCATGCTGTGCGCCCAAAGAGAGCCAGCACCCTCGTTCACGTTCAGCGTCCGCCTCTAATTTTTCGTGCTGCCAGGCCTCAATTGTACAATCTCTCCTAGTCATTTCACGAGCGCCATCTGCAAGGCATTTTTCATATATCTTCAGTGCCTGGTTTTCTCCCTCGTTTCTGGAAATACGCAAAGATTGATTGTATCGATTCAAAGCGCTCTGTGTTCGTCGTACGGCATCCTCAAGAGCATGATCGTGCTGCGTTTTCATTTTATGTAGTCTTGCAGCATTGAGTTCAGTTTCAATTTGTCGAGTTTCATGATGAGTCCAAGCTTCGGCACCTAGTTGAGCTGACTGAGTAAGTAGAGCACTAAGAACTTCATTGTGAGCTAGCACTACCTCTGTGATTACCTCAACTGCATTACAGCGATCCTGAACTTGAAAATCAGGCTTTATTTGCGTTACCTTCATTTTTGGGCGAGTTGACATAGCTTCAAAAAAGCTAAATCCATCATTCAATGTGGACCTATTTGTGGTCTCGCCAGGGATGTCAGCTAGATATACAAGCTGTTGAGGTAAGTGATTCTTGCTTCCAAGATCGAGAATGCGTGCGATCTGTGGTGTCACAAGAATCACCCTGTACTCGATATTTTGACACTGTTTACCACCTCCACAGCAAATTGTGCTGCGCATCTTACGGAGACCAGATCTTTCTGTGCCACATCAGCATGCGCCGATGACTCTCCTCGAGAGCTGCAAATACACGATATTCCCTTGCCATTTGTTGATTCTTGAATATTCTCCATGCGCTTATGCGAAACAAGCGCCACATCGGTTACCTGGAAGAGTTGGTAATTTTATGTCAGGATAATATCACATACCCCATGCGCCTGCTCAGCACACGTAGCTAATGAGCTACTTGGCATTGGACTTAGTTCATCATCTTGGCTGTTGTTATTGTTACACGTGCTCTGGAAGGGACGAGATGACGATCGAGCATCAACAAAAACGGCCACAGATGACCAATTAAGCTCCCCATTTTCAAAAGGAGACGCGAGAGTATGCATGCGACCAGGTTGACATCGCCATGTTATGCCACGAAGTCCGGACAAAACCGCTTCGGCAGCAAGAACGTGGATGAAACATGCAACATCTAGTCTTGCTCGTTCACCCTCGATGAACGTCTCTGTAGAGCTCTGCAAGTTTTGTTCATTTCCCGCTCCTGCGAAATTACCCGCACGTTGCAGAAGTGACAACCGTAGTGATACAAGATGATCTTTCGCAACGAAATCATGTGCTACATGCTCTCTCCCGTCTGTTATTTTCTTATCAGAGTCTAAACAAGCCTGATTCGAGTTGGAACTCGAGTGGGCAGCCTGGGACGGTTTTAGGCTGCGAAGCAATCTGTATGAGATTTCTCCAACCCGACGTCGTGTGCAAGCAAGTCTAGTGAGTAAATCATCTTCTGAGCGGGCCTGTGGTTCCTTTCGTTCGATTCAGTATCTGCTAACCTAGGGATCTTGCGATTCCAACGGAGGACACTGAAATATGCAGCTATCTCCAGCTCTTTGCGAAGCTGCTCTAGGGGTAGATTACAGGTGGATGATGATTTACCTTCAAGAGCACGAAATGCATCAGCTACAAAGCCAGGCTTTGACTGTGCCTTCGTTTGGTCTTGTAGCTGTTCGTTTTTGACAACTTCCTGAATGTATGTGTCTGTCGAGTCTCCCGTAATTGGTGTTGCTTCGTTTTGGTTTGACGATATCTGGAGACCTGAGGCCCGTCGGCGCTGTGCCAGTGTTCGCCGCACTTCGGCACGGCGTGCCTAGTATTCGCCAGCCTTTTTGGTTAGCTCCCTCAGGGGCTTTGCATAAAAATCTAGACGCGGATATCACTTCTTCTAAAGCCCTAGTCTCCTTTTCATTCGCGATTCTCAGGGCTTCCGTACGGATTCTGGCCGCTTTGCGTTCTTTGCGAGAAACATACTTCCAATTGTTATCTCCCGCCGCAAGAGCACGAAGGGCTTGTACGTCAACAAATACCGGAGTGTCATCTTCGAAACCAGAGTGAACTTGTTCCTCTAGAAAAGTTAGGGCTTTCCGTGCAGCAATGATTGCCTTGTTCCTTCGCCGATCTAGTTGAGCCACGCGGCGTTCTTGCCGCTGAGAGAAAAAACTGAAACTATCGCCACTTGTCGGTAAGTCTTCATCGCAACTGCTGGAAAAGTTTTCCTCATCGGGGAGCAATGCTATGTTACCACGTGGTTGTGCTTCTTCTCCGACAGTTAGATTGCCGGTCACTGCGATCTGATCGCGATCAGCAAGGACAGGCAGATCATCGACGCGGACCGAGGAGCCACTGGCAGCAGCACTTTGCGCCTTCGGTTGCAGCCAACTCACTTCTCCCGTCAAGGTATTCCTCCACGAAGCTTGACCCCACTCATCCATGGTCTCAACCCAAGCCCCCGACCGCATCTCTTCGACATTTGATGACCTGATAAATTAATAGTGCTCAATCGAACAAATTCTTTTCTCTGGAGACAACGTGTGCAATAATTGGCTTGCCTTGGACAAATTATCTTTGGCCCCGGTGTCCGTCAGAATCTGCCCTGAGGGAATTGCCGCGTTTGCCTCGTAACTCCCTAATGCATCGACAACATTTCCGAGTTCGTCACGGCCAGGTGGCGGCTCATACCTGCTGACAACAGAACATCATAAAGTAACCAAGGGAGGCAAGCGCTGCGGGAGACAGCATAGTAGGGGGGGGGTCCCAGGCAGCTTCACCAGTATCTGCGTGCACGAAGTACTTGCGTCCATAATCATCTGTTGTTTGTGACCATCGCGAAGCGGCTGCAACGCGCCGACGAATTTCTCGCTTGATTTCTGAATCTGCTGCCGCGGTTAAAGCTGAGCAGAGAAGCTGATTCCGTACATCTGTGTCCATAATCATGTGTCGACGAAGTGCAACGGGTGCGAGGTGGTCGGGGGGCCAAAGCGCTGCAAGTTGCCGCCGTTCCACTACCCGAGCAAGACGTTCACGAGAGAGAGTGTCCCGCGCCTTTGAAACCTCAGCACGCATGGGTTTCACTTCTGCTTCTACTGCGCTTGCCAAAGAACCACGCAAATTGGCTAGCTCTTTCTGCGCTTTGTCCAACGTCTTATCGAGTTCAGAGACCTTGGAATTGAGCTGATTGTTTCTAGCTTCAGCGGCGGATAGCGCCTCCCGCAGGGTCTTGATAGAAAGAATAGAGCGACGTATCCTCAAAGCACTCCGCCCCAGGCTGTCACTTTGCTTTGAGACTCTTTCGCTTTGCGAAAGCATGATACCGCAAGCTGCATCGATGCTGGAGCTGCAGCTAGCAACTGATGAGGCAACAATCCTTGCAGATACTGTCCAATTGGTGAGGAGTTCACGCTGCGCATTAGCGTCTGCACGAGCTTCGTTAAGCCTGACGTCGAGCTCACGTCGTTTTGTTTCAGCAATCTGTGCACGCTTCTGTGCTTTTTTGGCAGTTTCCTCTTGCATACCAAGGTCGTCTACTCGTCGCACCGCACGCGCAAAAGCGAGAGTCTCCGGTATTTCGGCAATACCCTTCTCACCAGTTTCAGAATTAACAAACGTGCCATCCTCACATTCTTCCCAGCCGCATGGATCTCCACTTGCCGCACGCCTTAGTTGTTCGAGTTCGATACGAACTTCTTCGACTTGATCCTTTGCTCTGGCTCGAACTTGCGCAACTGTAGATTCAAACTTCATTTCCATTTCGGTCAACCTGGCTTCAGCGGCTGACTGGATGCGCTGTTCCATTGTGTCTCGTTCGTCAATCAAACGTTCGTTCTCCAACGTCACTCTGTTTGATTCCTCGCGTGCCTGTAGCCAATATTTCAATTTATATTAACCACACTATACACACCCGCTCGAGCTCTGCGCGCACCGCTGCGAGCTCGCCCATGCTGACGTCAACGGCTTCCAGGGGAGAGGCGTTAATTCATACCCCTACAGTGGGATTTCTCTATAGCACATTGACGTCAATCGACGCCAGACGGGTCGTCGATCGACGCCGATTGTACCCCTTTTTTACCGCCGGACGGCCTAACGCACCGGCTCGTCAGGGACGAGAAACACTTATGGGTAGTATGGGTAGCACCGCCGAGTGCGTCGGCGTCCTAGTCGGCCGCGCGTGCGCGACCCGAGGGCAAGGCCCAAAACAAACTCTGAAAACGAATAACCCAAGGTGATACTTCCCTTCAAATAAGCGTTTTGTTGAACATTTAATTACGACTCCCAACCCGAACCGGCGACCCCACACCCTGAAAAGTGTCTCAAACGATACGATTAGCGCGCTGACTAAAAGCGCGCGCCTGGCGGGGGGGATAATTCAACATTTTCGTTCGGCAGTCGACCCGCGCGCGCGCGGTCGACGGGGGACCCCCATGGCCTACTACGGCCGGCGGCCAGCAATAATAAATAAATACTTCTATGGCCGCGGCCAGCCCTATGGTTGTTTTTGGCCTTGCCCGAGGGGGTTGACCGCCGGTATGCCTGGTAGTATGCGCCTGCTATGCGGGTTTTATGCGGGTGTTATGCGGGTGTTATGCGGGTGGTATGCGGGTCGTATGCGGGTGGTATGCGCCTGCTATGCGGGTGGTATGCGGGTGGTATGCTGGTCGTATGCGGGTGGTATGCGGGTTGTATGCGGGTGGTATGCGCCTGCTATGCTGGTCGTATGCGGCTGCTATGCTGGTGGTATGCGGCTGCTATGCGGCGACCTCCGGCGGTCGTCGCCTGGGGTCGTCGACAGCGGTCGTCGGGCTGCTATGCTGGTGGTATGCGCCTGACAAAATGAGCGGCGGCGTTGCAGTTTGCCCTGGGGACTTTCATTTTGCTATTTCGAGGAAGCTTGAAGGGGCGGCGTTGCAGTTTGCCTTAAGGACTTCATTTTGCTATTTCGAGGAAGCTTGAAGGGGTGGCGTTGCAGTTTGCCTTTAAGGAGCTTGAAGGGACGAGGCAGTGGGGGAAATTAAAATTGCAAAATCGTAAGGGGTTTGGGGTATTTTGGCTCCGCGGAAGGGTTCTAGAAGGCTTCTGGGAAGCTTCTGGAGGGCTTCTGGCACGTGGTTTGGAGCGGCGTTGCAGTTTGCCCTTAAAGAAACTTGAAGGGCAGTTTACCAAGGCGAGGCAGTGGGGGGAATCAAAATCGCAAAATCGTGAGGGGTTTGGGGTATTTCGGGTCCGCGGAAGGGTTCTGGAAGGCTCCTGGAGGGCTTCTGGAGGGCTTCTGGCACGTGGCATGGGGCGGGTCGCGCCCTCTAGGGCGTGGGCGGCGCGTCAGAGGTCCCCGGCGAGGCGTGAGCGGCGGTGTTGAGGTCCCTTTTGAAGGGCAAGCGGCTGTGTTGAGGTCCCTGTTGAAGTGCAAGGTTTCAGGGTGAAGTCCAAGTTGAAGCGGCGTTTAACATATCCCGCCGGCGGGATATGTTACTATCCACGGGTCCACTATCTCGCTACCAGCGCTCGCTACCCAGGGCAACGCCCCCGACAATAGGGCCGGCGGCTGGGGGCCCCAAACTAGAAAGCGTCGTATTTCCCGCGTTCGGCCGCTGCGTTCGGCGGCACCTGGCCTTAGCGTGTCATTTTGGAATAGCAGAATAATCTCCTACTGGGCCTAATTTGACATGGGTGAATTCGGTACTTGAAGGGCGCCAAAGTCGAATACCGCGAGCTCAGCTTGAAGGAGAGACTCACGAGCCCCACGAGCACCCAGGCGAGACTGTAAAGATTGGAGGTTGGCAGATCCTTCGATCTGGTACCACGGTCCAAAGCCTTGTTGCCTTGGGAGACACCAGACACGAGCATCGTGGTCGAGTCCACACTCGAGGGACACATACGTACGTCGAAGTCGGTCAACCCCGAGAACACATCCTCGAATTTGAGACATATTCAAGATCTCGATCCTGGCTCGCTTTTCGGCGCATTCGTTGGTGAGTGCATCGCGAACGTCACGTAGCGTGAGGTAACCTTTTCTGAGGAGATCAAGGACCCAGCGGCTAGCTTGAGAATTACTTTCGCTTGGAAATTTACTGGCAAACTGAGCATCTTCACAGCGTTGAATACCAGCCTCAATGACCAATTTGTTGCGTCGAGATACTTCAGTAACATCAAGTACATGCTCAAGGCTCTCGAGAGCATGCCGACGGAGGGCGTGGAGATTGTCTCGAGCTTGACGTGCATAAAGATGTGCAATGGCAGCATCGTTATCGATAGAAACGCGGTCAGCAAACAGAGCTGATGCCTCACAGTCGCTCATTGCAGCCATGGTTGCTTCGCGATTACGAACATGATCGTGACTGCATAGGATGAGCTCTTCATGCGGACCACAACCGCATGCGCATGCATCAGCTAATTGCTCTGTGCGACGTCGCACTTTATCGTCACTACAGATTTCAGCTCGAGCAACAGCGAGATGGTCGACGGCATGGCTCTGCACATTCGGTTCACTGGATCCAGGGTTCCAATTTTGTCCGCTTTCTTTTCGGCGATCTTCCGCACTCAAGCGTGCACGAGCTTCGAGCTCCGAGCGTGCTTTACTTTCGTGGAAATCGCGTCGTTTCAGTTTTGTCTCTTTGGTTGACTCTCGAGCTTCGGTCATATTGCGCTCCCTCATCTTCCAAGATTCAACGCGTGCATCGCATGTGCTAGCTATAGACACCAACCGCATCGCTCCACGTATCAGTGCATCAAGTAAAGCGGCGCGCTCAAAAACAGCAAGGCAGTCATATGTGCCACCGCAACGTAGCTTGTCCGTGGCAGCTACAAGTGGGTCAACACTAAGCGTGTCAGTATCACACCATGCGAAGGGCTCGGAAAGTTTGTGATGGACATCACCGATAGTTCTGTCTCGCACGGCTGCAATATCATGGGTGTCGATGGCACCAGGGCCTTTGACGCTGGAAGACCGCACTGCGTCGTCTTGGACGGCAAGGCGCACAGCAATAGCAGATGCGCATGCATCCCAGCACCCTGTATGAGGTTTTAGAGGCCGTATGGCCACGTCGGCATGCAATGCACGAGCCTTCAAGAAGCGTGTCGCCATCTGGGCGGAGAGACGTGGCTCCGCCATTGAAAGATTTCCGAGAGTCTCGACAACAATACTTCCACATCGTGCCCCCCGGTCAACGAGAATCTTTGCATTTGATTCACGAGTGGCCACAACAACTCCGGTATCACCGCCAAATGGAAGCAATACATACCTTCCACACACTTGTGATGTAAAATTCCAGGTGTCTTCATCCTGTGCACTATGTTCGTCGAAGCAGTGCGAAACTGATGACGAAACTGCCGCTGTGGTCGTAGGTGTAGCTACCTCAGTAAAACTTTTGCAGTTTGAGGAAGTTGGGTACGGATGAACATTGAGGAGCGCAGGTTTCTGAATGCGCATGAGATCAAGGACTTGCAGTGCACCATGCTTTGTGGTACCGGCAGCATTGCATCGCCACCAGGTAAGGCATCGCCTAAGGAAATGCTTGACGGCTGCATTAGTCGTGGTTTCAAGAACAGCCTACGTGCAAAAGAGCAATTTACCGGTGAAGTGAGTTCAAACTTCATATCAAAAATTGTCTCTACCCTCCTGAACCCCCCTCCCCCCGCCCTCGAGTTAGTATTGTCTCTAGCCTCTCGAAACACTCGAAGAACACTTGATTCCTTGCATCGCGGTCTCTTGCGAGAATCCCGTCGCGGATGGGGTTTCCGGAGTTGGTCTTCAGGTGGCGAATCCCCTCGAGCATTTCAAGCCAGCGTTTAGTAATTTTCTCCGGCTCGTCTGCATCACACTTGAGGACAGCCTCGGTGTCCAGCTTGACACGCGCTGCCATAACACTAAGGCGCCTCGATGCCACCTCAGATGGTGCAGCTGGAGGTTGTACAGTTAGGACAACAGGGGCTCTCTGATCATCTGTTGCGCTATTTGGCCACCAGAGGTTTGCGGTGGGATCGCTCAGAAGCAAGCGTATAATTGCGCAGTGGACTCTGCGCAGAAATCCATTATCGTGGCGTATCTGATCGTGAACGCTATTTAAATCACCGAGACTTGAATTCCTGCAAAGTGTGGCACCTATTTCACAATACTGCATGGGGGCATTGTGGAGGATGCGTCGAGCCAACTCCATGGGTCCAGCACGAAGGATGGCACGATCACTTTGTGCGGTCGCATGGCGCCAAGTGTCTATATCTTTGCTGAAAGTTACATCAAATACTTCATCACAGTCATCGCTACTCTTGTCGTCATATATCTCGTTGTGACTAATCCCAATGCCAAGCTCGATCGAAAAAGCATTGAGAAAATGCCAGGTCGCTAGAATGTTAGAAAAATCACCTGCTTTGACTGATAAGAAACTGTCGATTTCAGCATAGTCGATGGGACGCCCCAGCATTTCGAGGTCGGGGGCGGCACCGCTGTCGAGAATGGAGTCGTCAACCCTACGATCACGTTGAAAAGCCTCCATGCGCCTAGCATATTTGTCAAGAGCCTTCTCAAGCTTTAGTTCGAGGCGTTTGGCACGCTGACGAGAGGCCTCAGTCATTTTGAGACATCTGCGGTCGATGTCTCCACTCCGAGGTTTCCTGCCTGGACCCCCAGTAAGAGGCACTAGGCCAAGCGCCCGCGCAACTTCCGCACGGCTGCGGAAGCGCCGACCACTGTCATCGTAATAGTATATGTCTGAGGTTCCGGCTGTGCTACCTTCCTTGCGGACTTCTATTGTTGCAGAGAATGTTGAGAGCACGTGATTGCCGTCGCCGCCACAGGAAGAAATATATTCCGAAAGTGCTACGAGCATAGCTGCAATACGCTCCGCTTCACTTGCATCTTTGCGCAGACGTGCAACCTTGGGTGGCCTCTTTTCAGTCAGTTGCAATGAGGTATTAGCAGGCAGTTTAGAAGTATCCTTGTGCGGCTGTGATAATCCTAGGACCCCAGTTGGTATTATTGCTGAGGGAACCGCCTTGAACGAACCGCAGACATTTTGCACGAGTGCGATGAGATCGCCGCCAGCTGCCATACCGGAGAGTAACGCTCTGATCTTGATCTTTTTCGAAGCACAGGGTACAGCTCGCCGTCCACTTCGTTCTGCCTGTGAAGGAGAAAGAGACGTTTGGTGAGTCCTAAGATACACAGCGCAACTCAGCATAAAGCCTCAGCATCACGCAAGAGTGCCCAGAGATTGCTGAGCTCTCTTTTCGAAGTAGTATCTCCAGTGGCCGTAAGAAGCTGTAGCCGCTCGCGTGATTTCCTTAACTTGTCGCTATCACCTTCAACTTGCGCCCGTCTAGCCTGTCGATTTAGCCATGTAGCACAAACGTGTTGACCAGCTGCCTCGCCACTCGTCTCTTTTGCAGTGATCGCGGCTGCAAGAGCGTCACTTGCAGTGCGTAATATAATCTCTAAAATTCCCAAGCATCGTTTAGCTCCAAGATGTACCACCTACATATCCACACTTTAGGCACTCCATTTTCATCCAGAAGACCTCTGACACAGGTCAGTCGCATGATCAGCATCATAGTTGTATGCAGTGGCATTATCAAATATGCGCCTAATATCGCTGACAAATTTGGCATAGAACGATTCGGGAGCATCATATCGCCCTTCAGTCATGCGCGACCTGCGAAGTCCGTCATGATTTGAGTTTTGAAAAGAGCGGACGCCGAAAAGCGACTGTATTATTTTCAAATCCAAGGGATGATGAATAATTTCTAGATAATCTGGACATCCATCGCGCTCTAGATCCACCTAATAAACTACTGGTCCGGATAACGAGCGAGCTCTGCAAAGTTGCACAAAGCTTTCGTGACACGGATAACGAGCGGGCTCTGCAAACCAAACATGATCAGGCACTGCTTGAATCTGTTCTAGGACATATTCTGCGCATTGCCGCGCAACAGGTGCTCGATTACGCATATTTTGTTGCCCTTTTATCTCAGCTTTGATGAACTCCGCGCCTTCCTTCGCGGCTTTATACCCCACCGCTGCCCGCTTGACAGTTCGCGACGGATCCGTAATACTCAAGCCCCGCTTTTTAGATGCTCGGCGCAATCGCGAATCTGGTCCCACCGTTCGTACGCGCAAAATGGACACCGGTACGTCATCATCGTTCTTATCGATACACTTTGCGGGTGCCATCTGCAGTGCTTACCCAGTGGATTAACTAGTAGGCTATAGGCTACTACTAGTATTGTAATAGCTATGTATGGACGGGCCCCTGCACGACGGTCCGGCCCCGGGACGGGGGCCGGGGACGGCGGGCACGGGGGTTCCGGCACGGTAAATGCGCTCCGGGCACGCGGCCCGGCACGGGCCCGGCACGCGGCACGGCACTCGGCACGGGCCCCCGGGCACGGGCCGGGCACGGGCCACGCGGCCCGGCACGGGCCCGGCACTCGGCACGGGCCCCGGGCACGGGCCGGGCACGGGCCGGGGAGGCCCGGCACGGGCCCGGCACGGGGCCCCGGGCACGGCCCGGGCACGGGCCGGGGACGTGGCCGGGGACCGCGGCACGCACCGTTGTGCAGGGCCCCCTGTATGGATAATCAGTGGACTACACGGATGACAGAAGGTTCTACATGTGATGATCTGAGGTTTAGTGCACCAAAATTGGCCACACCCGAGCCATCGGCAGCGGTGATAAAGCGGCGAATATCGCCCTTAGAACGCGAGTGTGATTAAGCACAATCAAATTGCGCTTGGCGATAAGCCAGCTACCTAGGGAGCCTGCTGATAAAGCGGCGAATATCGCCCTTAGAACGCGAGTGTGATTAAGCACAATCAAAGTGCGCTTGGCGATAAGCCAGCTACCTAGGGAGCCTGCATTCTGCTCCTTGGGCTATACTACCCTAACTCGGGACTATGCTATCCTCCCTATGCTGGGACGCTCATACTGGCCTATGCTGGCTATGCTAAGTCTGCCTTATACTGGCTATGCTAGCAGGGCAGACTCTCGTTGGGACGACTCTCTGCTTGTGATTCCTTCTATAGGCGAGTTGCTTGAAGCGAACGCTGAGATTTACGTCATGCCTGGCGCGTCTCGTCACGTCCGTGCTCACAACACTCGGTATAAGAAGTATCGGCGTGCCCGGGCCCTGCCGGAATATTTCGCTTATACTCGCAGCAGGAGCCAACACAGCACCCTGACATCAACACGCTGTGGAATGACAAGAGACAGAGAATCAGCCCACTGTCACTGCAGATGAATTCCATATATGAGAATCGTGCCACATGGGGAGAATTTGAGAATTTTTGCTTGGGCCCAGAGTCCCTCATTTCGCTTGAACTTGGGAGAAAAGTCGGAGAGTGATAATCCATGTGGCTGAGGTGGCTGCGCCATCCAAGCGCGGTCCGTCGGCCTTCATTCTGGCATCTTTAATTGAAACTGAGCTCACCCTCCCCTTGAGGGAGGATTTTACTTAGGCTTTACTTTGCTTCCTTTAGCTCAGGAGGCTCTCAGGCTAGTGGGAGATACGAAAGGCCAAGTGGACGGAAACTGCAGATAGCTCCAAGACTCGTGGGGGCAAAAATGTGAATCACTTAGGCTTGATGTATAACATTCCTGTAGTGAGTGTTTGAAAACATGATTTTAACAATACGTTATTGTGGAAGTGCAGGCGAGAGATTCAGAGCCGTGGCCGTGCGATTCTAGCGAGTACATGCTAGAAAGGCTGATAGGCCGTGGATCTTTTGCCAAGGTATACACGGCCACATGCCGCATGAAAAGAGCAGATGGAGTGCAGCGGGTCGCCCTGAAAGTAATGGATCTTGAACATATTACGACCGAAATATCAGAAATCTCCAAGGAAGTCCAGATGATGCGCATGTGTTCTCACGCCAATGTTCTATGTTGTCATGCCTCTTTTGTGAGCAAGAGTGAGCTCCTTCTTGTGATGCCACTCATGGAGAAGGGCTCTTGCCTGCATATTATGCACGCCGCGAAACAATTTGGTTTAGGGGAGGGGCTTGCAGAGGAATGGCTTGGCTACGTGCTATTTGAAGTGTTGCAAGGGCTTAACTATCTGCACGAAAATGGTCACATCCACCGGGACATTAAGGCGGGAAATATTCTGCTCGATCCCGTTGGTAAGGTGGCCCTTGCTGACTTTGGTGTATCTTCTTGGCTTGTTCATGCTGGACTTCGACGCCGGACAGCAAAGACATTTGTTGGAACTCCGTACGTGCCAACTCACTCTGCTGGTAAGAATCCCAGCCTCTGCTCAGGTGTTGGATGGCGCCCGAAGTGATGGAACAAGTCGAAGGCTATGATTATAAAGCAGATATCTGGAGTTTTGGAATAACAGCTCTTGAGTTGGCCAAGGGGTTTGCACCATATGCTTTTCATCCCCCAATGAAAGTTCTACTGCTTACAATTCAAGAAGAACCCCCTTCTCTTCGAAGCTATGCAACTGAGAAGTCGTGCACTGGTAATTCTTGAGAAATACGCTGGCCCTTGACTCATTTGTTAAATCAGGGGAGTCATTTTCCCGCTCGTTTAAGGAGATGGTACGCATGTGCCTTCAAAAGGAAGCTCGCAAGCGTCCCACTGTACACACCTTGTTAAACAGCAAATTTTTCAAAATTGAGCGGTCGGTAACACCGCTTGTCAACGAGCTCTTGTGTCATGTAAGAAATATATCTGCAACATACCGTGTCGGCGCTTCCTTCATCGAATTTTATGATATCGTTACCATGTTTTAATAGGTAGAGGACGGGCCCATTCATGACTACGAGGATTGTGCGACACCACATGTGCTGCCAGCCTCAAACTATAGATCGCACCTCATGAATCTCACATAGGATGCTTTACTCGACCATGACAATGCAGAACCTTCGCTACGCGATGGGACTGAGCCCGCAAAATTGTCTTCGACCAGAAGAACTGCCGAGGACCTAAAAAAAAACGCAGACGATGCTCACTCGGACGGCCGCTGTCTGGCGAGTGTCCGCAGCAGAGATAACCACTAATCACAGGAGCACAATTCCATGAAAGATAAAGCACAGGTGCACGCTTGCATTGCGAAGACGGGAGAAAGCGGCGAATTCGTTCGCGGCACGACATGGACATTCGAAGATGGTTCACAACAGCGATTTTCTTTTGACTATGGCAGCATCTTCCCTTGCACAGGACAAGAAGTTGTGCTCAAATCTGAATCTTTCATCCGCCGCGAGATCGATGCTAAATGTGCTCAAGATGACCAAGAATGTGCCGCAATCTTTGACGATCTCGAGGACCTAATGAATCAGCGGGGCGGCGAGTGGGACTTCAAAAAGAATCAAGATGTTTATGCGCGCGATGAGCACAGTCAAATTAACAAGGGCGAAGGCAGAACTGCAGATGGGAATGAGTTACCTGAAAACTGACATGAGGACCTGTGCATATGCGCAGTGTGCAGCTTTGATTGACCATAACAGCTTCCTATGTGTATACGACACAGGAGTGTTTCCTAAGCGACGACCAGGCTATCATTGATGGTCCCAGGGCAGGTGCAAGTGTGCTCTGCAGCATGTACGTCGACGTCATGTCTTGGGGCGCAGTTTGGGGCTTCACCTCAAATTGAACCCGGAAAATTCAGCGCGATCTAGTTTGAGCCCGCCCGGGGCCTGTGCCTGGGGCCCGGGTGCCTCGGCAAGTCCCTGGCTGCCGGCGTGGTGCCGCCAGGACGTTGCGCACGGGCGTTTCTGGATGCAGGGCGCCGACGGCGTGTTGGAAATTTCAAGTACCGTAGAGAGACAGAGAGGATCCCGCTGGGGCCTTGCCTACTTGGTAGCTCGCTGGCACAGAGCCACGTCAGCGAGCCGCATCCAAGATTTCCTTCCCCTTGAGGATTCTAAACCCAGCCAAAGCCCAGGGGGCTGGCAAAAGGCCATGCCTCTCTCTCCGCCGGAGGGGTTCTGGCTGGGAAGTAACTTTCCCAGGGAACCCAGTTATCCTCCCGGGGGGGGGGGGGGGGGGGGCTGAGTCTCGTGTCCGGCCCAAACTAGGACACGTCGAATTTCCCACGCTCAGGGCCAAAATTAGAGCGCGCTGAATTTCCCGCGGGCGGGTCATATCTGAGGGCAGAAATCCAAGGCGGGGCCCACTGTGAAGCCTATCGTGCTTCAGGCCAGTCAAGGAATATCGCGGTATGTTTGAACTAAGCACGCCCTTGAAATTGCCAAACCCAAGCCGTCAGCAGGTTCTAGATAGGTGCCTAGGTTGAGTGTGCTCAGTGCACCACCAAGAGGCGCCAAATTTCCCACCACAGATTAGTTCGTTTGTTTGAAATACGACAATTCTCGCACCAGGCTCGTTCGTCGCTGGCTCTTCTGACGTCATGCTATCATGCACATGTCGACTGCAGGTGTATCTCAAGACTTGCACAACGAGCTTACGTGTGTATTGATCATTTGAAAACATAGCAGTTGCTCGAAGAGGCAAAGCACTCCGTCGCTGCTGTTTTTATCTCTTGCTACGATGCGAATATTATCGCAATTTTGTCTTCTTAGGTGCCCGCTTGATGTTGTTGATGGACAGCCAAGGGAATCGGAGCGCGTTTGGCCCGTTGAGGAATTCAATGTGCGTTTGAAGAAGTGCGGGAATGCGAGCGTCATCACGTTCGTGCATTCTGACGATTGAAACCTAGCGTGTATATGATATCACTCTACAAAAGGGCGCCCTCGCTGAGACACAGGTATCGCATACGAGTTCTTCAATACAGGCGACATACTTGACTTCTGGTATGTAGAGGTCAAAGCCTAGGGCGCCAAGGAAAACACATTCCATGGCATTAATGCGATCGATTGGGCAGGGGCGCTCCGCAGGTTGGACGCGACTCCAGGCGACAGAAAAGTCCACGTTTCGGAGGGGCGTGTCATCCCAGTATTTCTGCGCAATCATCATTGCGCAGAGAAGAAGTCGTTTGCAGTTTCTGCTTGTCACACGCAGGTGCGGGTGGTACGAGAGAATCCTAATCACGAGCATGAGCGCAATGACCGTGCACTCAGGGGTGAACATGCAAAGTGCGAACATCTGGAAGACGAAGTCGTGTAGCTGAGGTAGCCCAAGGTGGGGTGCAGTAGATAAAACCTGAGTATAGGTGGGCGTGCACTTCCTAGCCTCTGTTCGAAGCCCTTCACGTAGCCCGGCCACACTCGGCGACTCTCGAGAAACGCAAATATTGCGTATCGCTGAAAGTTAAGTTACTCGAGCCGAGTTACTCAGACGCGGCAGCAAACGCCAACCTCGCTCCAGAATGCACGGAGTTGGGGCGGTTCCTCCGCATCAATAGGCGCCATCATGAACTCGACCAGTAGACAAATACCCATCATGATCACTGCATCTACTGGTGCCTCGGTCTTCGGTGCGACAAAGATCCTTGTTGGAGTGATGAGTGGTGCGCCTGCATGCTTCGGTGCGAAAAGCCTAGGTACCACGTACATACGAGTTTGTTTAGTGGCTGAAAGGAGCACAGCAAAATGCGCTGGCATCTGATCATTGTTGGAGTGCCCCTGTTCCTCGTTAATGTCCCCGTGATCGGAGTGGGATTCAGAGTCATCACGCATCTCTGTATCAGCAAGGTGCGTCACCTACATCGTAGACTAATCAAACCACGTGCGAGGCGCACGCTATACCTTGGCCTTGCTCCCAAAAACATTTCCTAGCTTGGGCGCCCAGAGCTTCGGCATTGACTTTGGCATACGCGGCCGCGGCCAAACGGCTCGTGGTTGTCGCAG